AGAGAGAGAGAGAGACAGACAGACAGACAGACAGACAGACAGACAGACAGACAGACAGACAGAGAGAGAGAGAGAAGGGGTGGATATCACACCTCGGAGTATACATTTGCTCTGGGAAGTCATTGATCTAGGCTTTCCCAGGACTTACAGCTAGAGGCTCCACATATAGTAACATTATGTAGTTAGGTCCCTAAACCCCGATGGTAATTCCATAGTGGTACCCTTATGGCTGATGGAGCCTCTGAGTAACTAACCTTTTAGTTTTCGCTGGCCCCGATGGCACCGCAGCAGCGCTAGTATCGGCTTGCATGCGAGTGCAGCACTTTCCGTAGCATCCACAGATGCCTGGCAGACACTGCAGAAACTCATCCTAAACCCGAAACCCTAAACCCATGTGTCGTGACGCATTGAGCTTTCAACCTCCAGTCTCTCTATACAGACCTCGCTTGGTGTTGCCGAGTGTGAGCATCAAAAAGTGCGTCAGGGCCTTCGAAAGGATCCCGAAATGCCATTTCATCCCTCCCCAGGCCCGGAACCCTACGTAAAGTCTCCATTGTGAATTGTGGAATCATTTTTTGCCTCGGTTACCTCAAGATCCTAAACATAAGATTGGCAACGACGACTACATCCTAAGTAGGTGGTGAAAGAACTTTCGCGTCTGGAGAAGTCTGAGGCGGACTCTGCGGAAGATGAGGAGGACGTTGCGGAGCCGGGTCCTCGTACTGTTTGGGATTTATGATTTTGGGTTAAGGATTTTGGGGTTTTAGAGTGTAGGGCTTCACGCATTTCAGTTCTAGGTTTTTGGGGTTCTGTTGAAAGTTGAAAGGGCTGTCGTAGATGTTTGTGAAGTGTTTTGTGAACTTCGTAGGGTTTCACGAATTGTCATCAGGTGTTCCAAGGCTCTATATGGATGCTTCGTGAGTTTTTCGTGGGGCAGCTACACCTGTGGCTGGCTTTGTCAGCCCGGACTCCTGGACATGTTCATTTGGGAGCCTCTCTCCGTAACCTAAGCCAGAAAAGTCCATATATATATATATATATATATATACATATATAATTTTTACGATTACATATGGACATGGTTGTGAGATTGCGTTCCTGCCCCACCCCGCCCCGTCCCCAAGGCTACTTCTGAAAAAAAACTGAGCGAAGTCGCTCCAGGCGCCTGTGCGGAGTGCGGAGGGGCCTCTGTTCCAGAGGGGAGGAGGGGGGTGACTAAACTCCATAGCAGGTTTAGGGTTTCGGGGGGAAGGGAGCAGACAGCCATTGGAAGGAGGCCTGAACCACGCCACCCAACCGTTCCACATGCAAGCTTAAGGCCCGACCAAATGGGGGATACCGTTGGGGGGGAGGGGAGAGAGGGGGCACCGCTGTGGGTGCAACCACATGTACCACTCTTTTGCAATTTGGTCTCCAAAACCATTAAAAGGATGGCCTTCGCATGGACCCTCTGGGTAAGTGTACAGCGGAAGTGGACATGGAAACGATGACCTGATGCAGAAACCTTTGTGCCTTCTCAGCTGCAGTTTAGGGTTTTAAGTTTTAAGGTTTAGGGTTCTAGGGTTCGGGGTTTATGGCTGCTCTGTAACCCTGATTCCCAACATTTTCGATGCCAATCTCGTAGTTAACTTCCGTTTTGCACCGGAACCGATCTCGTGTTGAGAAGCTCCTGCTTTCTGGAAGTTCTGCACTCCCCTGATTGAGAGCCAGCGTGCTTCAGCGTTAGCACAAATAATACCAGCACTGAAGACTAAGATACGCTAGAGACAGAGAATATCCCAGCAGCCCAGACAAGGGGTCGGAATAATCACGAATGCCAACATTTTTCCTTAGGGTTCCTTGTTATATGCATAGTAGATAATATTCGCCAAAGCCAGATTCTAATCCCAAGCCATAGCCTGAGGGCTTCTCTATGAACAGCCAAGGCGGCTGAAGCAGCGAAAGCGGCCGATCAGCTACGAGGAAGAGATGTTCTGATCCCTCACTCAGAGCCATATCTCGGGTCTGTCTGGGTATCGATCCACCACGAACCCTGCTCTACTTGGAGGTTCATGGGTAGTCATAAGTAATTTGGGTTATAAGTCCCCTAATATGGGGTATAACCCTACTTATAACTAGTTGCAATAGATCTCATATGCTGTCTCCGTGTGTATGCTTGGAGGGTCGGGGGACTTACATAGTAACTGTTATTTTAGAGACTTATAAGTACCATAACCCCAATTAGGGCCCCTTGCTACTTGCTACCTACTTACTACGTCCCCCGACCCTCCAAGTGGGGATCACCGATCCGTAAACGAGCGCATCGCGTTGCAGTGCTTTCAGACAGCGGGTTGTACAGTTTCCTCGCTTCTGGAGGGAGGTGGAAAATCCCGGAGGCTTAGGGATCTGTAGGGATTCTATAAGGGTATAGGGTTTACAGCCTACTTGGAGGTTCATGGGAAGTTTGAGCGGGGTTACAAGTCCCTTAATATGGGTTGCGATTATAGTTACCCTATGTATAGCCCCACTTATAATAACTACCCCTGAACCTCCAAGTGGAGGGAGGTGGAAAATCCGACAGATCAAGATCAACTTTGGGGTTTCAGGGTTGTGAGGCTCAATGTTATGATTTGGGACGTGACGCTTTTCCTTGTCGTTGGATCCTTGTTTCAGCTGGCGCTGTGATTCGCTCGTAATTGCTCTTGTCTTCGGTGTGACGGCTAGGATAACTCCTCGTGGTACCACGTGAATTGGTACAGCACCATCAGTTGCCAGACGTGAGATACGAAAAGCCTAGCAAGGCCAAGTTCTACTAGATACCTACCCAGAGGCCCCAAAGTAGTTCCTTTTTGGGATTACCTAATAGGATTCTATATATGAACCCCAAAAAGGAACTACTTTGGGGCCTTTGGGTACTTCAAGTAGGGAGAAGTCAGATTGTAGTCGTTAGTCTATCATGCGCGGCTTCCCGGCTGATTCACTGTGTAGGACTGTAGGACCACGTGAATATCAGACGTTTCGAGGGATTCGTCCGTGGATGGCTCTTGAAAGTTAGGGAAAATGTTTGACACCCATCAGGTGTTCCTTGGCACTCACTTTTCTTACTACCGATTCTGTTTGCATGTGCAGCCAGAGTTCACGCACAGTTCTGTGAACAACGGGTGGCTTCGCCTTAGACTTAAGGTCAAGTTTGGGATTCGAAGGCCTTGTCTTGATAATCCCTTGATGTGAGTGTTTGCAGGTTCCGCAAACTTGTAGTGGAGTAGGTAACCTATTAACCTTTTTTTGGTAGTTCGTAGAACCACTATCACTATATAACCCCAACATACTCCCAAAGGTTAGCCTTTAGTTCTCCAGGATGGTGGACAAGTAAGGGACTTGCACAACTTTTCGGGGTTGGTGTCTTGAGCTGCTCGGAGCACCGACCCGCAATCAGGGAGGAACCACAGGTTTTCGAGTGATGTGTGTAGTTATATGATTCTGGTTGTGTTTTTGCCCACTGCTGTGCAGAAGTGTTCTAGAGGGCACAGGCGTTCGCATGCTCGGGGCAGCCAGGGTTTCGGCTTCAGGGATCTTTAGGGTTAAGGGTTGCCAAGCCCTAAACCCTAAACCGATTCCTTGCAACCCTTCCCTCAGTGTTTGGTTCGCAGTGGCGGTCGTTTTGCAGCGTTTTGCATCCCATGGCGTTTCGCCTTTTGGGCCGTCAGCCTGCAACTTCAAGATATGGGAGTTTCCGAAAATTAGGGGTACCTTATAATAAGGATCCTACTATTTGGGGTACTATATTAGGTCCCCTATTTTTCGGAAACTCCCATATGATGGGTTCGAGCATTCAAGCCTTATGTTCAAGTTTGGGGCATTGAATTTTGTGCTGAAGTTACATGGCAGAGGGAGAGGTTGAGGAGGGCGAGAGTGCGGGAGAAGGATGGAGGGAAGGGGATAGGTTCAGGGTTCTATATCGGCCCCCGGCCAAGCTGAAGTAGCATGTCAGCAGCACGCGCCTCTCCCGTTCGGGGTAGTCGAACTTCCATACGACCCCATTGTTCAGTACAGTGTTTTGTGTTTAGTCTAGGGGCCAAAAAGCACATAAGCATAAGCATTTTATAGGGATATCCCTACCTTGATGGGCTTCATCATAAGGGGTTTATATGTGCTTTTTTGGGGCCCTAATAGTGTTCAGGATGATTTCACAGTTGAGCTTGGATCTACGGGGATGAGGTGTTCCCGGATCGAAACTTTTCCTCAGGCAATGTGCGCCGCTCGGCTGCTGTCTCAGCAGCGGAGCAGTTGTTGCTTGGCAGCAGTTTGGCAAGGTTGGGCTGATTTCCCGGGATGAATGATGACAGCTTTCGGGTTTCCGTTCAGGATATTTGCTTGGTGAGCTGCTGTGTTCTGGGCTTCGCCCCCCCCCCCCCCCCCCCCAACAGTTAGCGGGTTGTTCTGAAGTAAGACATCACCATGTCAGAAACACCATGGACTAAATTAGACTTGGCTTGAGAGGGCCATCGGCTCTTTTGTGCGAAATCTTCGCAACATGGAGATGTCTTAACATTTTTGCGTGAGCCGCAGGTCTAAACTCAAAGACTCTGAACAGTTCCAGTTTTGAGGCACCGTTCGACTATGGTAGTCCGTGTGCTAAGCTCTATGAACAAGCATGCCAGTTGCATGCATGGATGCAGCAAAGGACGAGAAACGCTCCACGCACTGACAACAGAGCGATCTTAAATGTACTCTATAGAATAAGCCAGAAGGTTCAAGCCGGCAGTTGTTCTTGAGAAGGGCATGGACGGAGAGACAGCTTGGACCTCGGCCATGTGGAGGAAGAAGGTCGGTGTTGCCTTCGGTACAACTGGGAAGATGAGGATGTTGGCCAGTTGCTTTCATCTCATAGTCCTGGCTTCGGCGAGCGAGGGCGAAAGGCAGCCACTTTGCCACGAGAGCTTCCGCAGCTTGGAGAAATGTTTGCAAAATGACTACGGCCGGCTCCGCGCCGCCTGCAGCCGGGTTGTCCTTTGGGATCTTTTTTAATTTCCCCTACTATTCTGCTATCGTAAATAATTTTCAAAGGGCTTAGAGGACAACTCAGGTAGCCGAAACTACGAGGGCCTCCAGGCCTGTCTGGCGAGGGACTGGAGGTACGTAGATGAGGGCAGAGCCTTCCCTCGGCCAGAGAGGGCCTTCAATCGCCTCCGGCAGTGCCGGCATGGCGTGACTGGGTTATATTAAAACTACAGATCCCTATTGTGGTAACCCTAAACCCTGAACCCTAAACCATCTTTTCGGGAAGCCACATTAAAACGACAGATCCCTATTGTGGTAACTTAAACTATCTCCTTAACAAGATCCCAGGTGATTTTTTCGGAAACCATGTTAAAACTACAGATCCCTATTGTGTTAACTTAAAGTCTCTCCTTAACAAGATCCCAGGTGATGCTCTTCAACCCCCTGGACTGGTATATCGGCCGTTCGCTGGAAGTCTATGGAGAGTGGGGGCAGAAGAAGGTGGGAATTTCCGAAAATAGGGGTACCTTAAGTACCTTATTTGGGGGTCCTTGTAATAGGGATCCTACTGTTTAGGGTTATATATTAGGGTCCCCTATTTCCGGAATCTCCCAGGTGGACTTCTTCTCCAAGCTCTTGCGCCCTGGTCAGGTGGTCGTGGAGGTCGGCGCCCATGTGGGCGCCCTCACTTTGGCACTATCTCGATTGGTCGGGCCTGCAGGTCGCGTCATTGCACTGGAGCCCTTCTACGCTTCGTTTGCAGCTCTTGCTGCTAACACCGCCTTGAACTCCTTGGAGAATGTGGAGGTGAGGCAGGCCGTGGTGGCGGACCGGCCCGGGAAAGTCTTCATGGATCGGGGGGAACTCGCATTTAAGCAGCAAGAGTTCTTTAACTTCGGATCGATGGACTTTCACGAGCTGGAAATTCACGATGCCGCGACGCAGACAGATCGCCAGTCCACCGCCTGGGACGAGTACTCGGTTCTTGCGCTGGAGCAGCTGTCCCTTCCGCAACTGGACTTCGTGAAGATCCTGGGCAGCGCTTGAACTCGACTTTTCTATTCAGTTGGTATATATCGCTTTATACACTCTAAACCCAAGCCCAAGTTGAACTTTTGCAGGGTCGCCAAGAGCAGCTCAGGATAGATGCTGAGGCCATGGAGTCTGCAGTGATCAAAGGCGCACTGCCGCTGCTGCGGAAGTTCCGGCCACTGCTCTTCATTGAGCCTTGGTAGGGCGTGGAGTGTTTTAAGAGTCCTTTTTACTCCTTGTGGTCTGAGTTCTCCTAAGTCTAAGTTCTCCCAAAGCCTTAATTAAGCACTTATAATTTTAAAGGAGGCCAAGAGAAAGACCAAGGAGTATCGGAACCCCAAGCAGAAGAACTCCGAGTTGCTGCGTGCCCTCAAGAAGAGCAAGTACGACTGCGTGCTCCTGCGGCTGCCGATCTTTAATTCCCAGAACTACCGTGACCATCAGGAGGATATCTGGGGAGAGAAGGGTTCCGTCGTCAACTTTGACCTCTTCTGCAAGCGCAAGGGTCAGGAGTCTTCTTTGGATGCTCAGGTGCTGGAGCTGTTTAGAACCGCCGTCGCCACCGATGTTCCAGGACTGCGCACTACGCCCAGAGATGCCTTCGAGATCATGAGCCAGGCCGAAAAGCCAAAGGCCCCGGAGCGGCCCGAAGAACGCCCTGGAACCGAGCAGACTCCCACAGTGCAGCCGAGAGCACGGCTGTCGCGCAAAGAGGTCGAAGAGATGAGTTTAGATGAGCTGTTGGATAGCATGGAGGCCAGCGAGAGGGTCACGGTTCCCAAGGGTCAAAGAGCATCAGCAACCAACTCAGCTGCTTAGCGGCAGAACTGGCAGTAACCTTTGCCTTTTTTGTAATTTTGTTGGGTGTTTATAACCATTATATGTACTCTCGAAGGTTGACCTTTAGTTAGGGTACGAACTAAACCATAAATGCTACACCCGAAACCCCAGATGATAAAGGCTCATCCTGGTAAGGAATTCTTTCCATACCTGCAGTTGGAACAGAGCCTATAAACCCTAAACCAAAATTAAAAACCCTAAACCCTAAAACCCCAAACCCTAAAACCCTAAAACCCCAAACCCTAAAACCCCAAACCTTAAAGCCCGAAGGATACGGAGATGAGCTTGAAGCTTCTGCTTGAGGATCCCCCGGACCAGCCCACGACGAGCACTCCCCCGGAAGAGCTGACCTTGGATGACTTGTGACCCAAAGAGTGGGGGTTCCTTTAAAGGGGTTTCTGAGGGTTCCTTTAAAGGGGATTCTAAGGGTTCCTTTAAAGGGGATGCTAAGGGTTCCTTTAAAGGGATGCTAAGGGTTCCTTTAAAGGGGTTTCTAAGGGTTCCGTTAAACGGAATTCTAAGGGTTCCTTTAAAGGGGATTCTAAGGCTTCCTTTCAAGGGTTCTACAAGGATGCTATAAGGGTTTTTGTAGGTTTAGGGGTTTGGGATTTAAGGTTAGGGTTAAAAAGCGGAGAGCCATTGGGCCGAGTCATGCCCCAGTGAGCCGCAACACGCCCATCCGGCAAGTGCAACCCACAGGGGTCCCCTCCACAGGGGCCCTTCTCAACCCTGTGATACTAGGGGTTCAAGATGTATGGTTTGGGTGCAATTCGGATATTAGGGTTTAGGGGTTTAGGATAAAAGAGGCTTAGGATTTAAGGTTTGGGTTTAGGGTATTCAGGGTTTGGGGGCCGAACATGGGGCAACAACAACACAGAGTCGCACGAATGAACCTAAGAGCCAAGAAGCTGGTGATAATCGGGTTTAGGATATTGAGGGTGCTTATGTTGTACTAAGTGAAATGATGGCGATTAATCGTCTCCGCCAGCAGAAATTCAAAGAACAGTCTGCCAAACCCGAAGACAGAAGCTGTAAGCCAGCCCCAAGCCCTAAACCACGAAGCAGTTGGGTAGACAGTTCTCTAAATGATGGCCCCTTTTCAGGTCCCCAACATGGTATGGCACCCTCCTGAAAAGGACTTAAAGGGGGCCCGATTTCAGAGAACTACCCTTCTCGTACATACCCTCATAGAAGCCCTATTGAAACCCTTACAATAGATCCCTTGAAGGAACCCTGACAGGAACCCTATGTAGCTTAGAGAACTACCCACCCAGAGACTCCAATATTCATTAGTTAAGGAATATACCATAAGTCATATAAGGGATCCTACTGTAATTTAAGGTACATTTCCTTAACTAAGGGGTATCGGAGTCCCTTAAACCCTAAGCCCCATAAATCCCTGAAAAAAAGACCCCTTAAAGGACCTTGATTAAGGGGTATTGGTGTCTCTGGGCACTTCCACAAAAGATCCGTCCAGGGCAGAGAGCCTCAGGAGTTCGAGCCCTACTTGGGAGGTTCATGGGTCGTTATACTTGGAGGGTCGGGGGACTTAGTAAGTGGGTAGCAAGTAGGTTTTTAAGTACCCTGAAAATGACCCTAGTTGGGGTTATGGTACTTATAAGTCCCTAAAATAACCAGTTACTAAGTCCCCCGACCCTCCAAGTAGGGGGTTCCCCTAAGGGTACCTGTAAAGGGGCCCCTAGGGATTCTATAAGGGCATAGGGTTTAGGGCATATCTTGGAGGTTCATGGGTAGTTAAAAAGTGGGTTATAAGTCCCCTGATATGGGCTATAATGATAGCTACCCTACTTATATCCCACTTATAATTGCCCATGAACCTCCAAATAGACCCTAAACCCTATACCCTTAAAGAATCTCTACAGACCCCTTCGAAGGGACCCTTAAGGGAACCCTTACAATTACCCATGAACCTCCAAGTAGATCGAAGATTCAGGATTCGGAGTTGAGGATTCGGGGTATTCGGGGTTTGGGGTTCGGGGGTTATGTATGTAATACATGATTATCATATGATTACATTTATTGATCATATATCGTAACAGTTATATAGGGTTTGGGGTTTGTTTCAGTGAACCCTGACACCCCTTGATTCACCCTGCAAGTCTGAATCTACACTTCCGGAAAGGTGACGGCTACCCCCTGAGCCTAAATCCATGCAGCATGTTGGCTCGAGTTGCTTACAATTGGTTAGTGGAGAATGGAAGACTGGTAGTATCAGTAGTTATAATTGTCGCTCATTCCTCCATTCCTTACAAACCAAACGTTAGTAGAGAATGGAAGACTGGTAGTATCAGTAGTTTTAATTGTGGCCCATTCCTCCATTCCTTACTACTTGGAGGGTCGGGGGACTTAGTAACTGGTTATTTTTTGGGACTTATAAGTACCATAACCCCAATTAGGGTCCCTTTTAGGGTACTTATAAGTCTACTTACTACCTACTTACTAAGTCCGCCGCCCCCCCAAGTAAGCTTCCTGCCCCAGTCCTGATGCCAAAGGCCTCAACCTATTCCTGGAAGCCTTACCTAAACGGGTTGCCTTAATAGTTGCCTATACTAGTTTGGGGGTTCCTTATAAGTATAGTATACTGGGCCCCAAGACCCTATTCTGATGATTAAGGCCCCTACATTAAGTTCGAGCCAGTTCTTTGTTTGTTGGTTGTCTTTCCAGCAAGTGAAGAAGAACCTTCCGTCGAAGGGAAATGCTCTAAGCCCCGTGCTGGTGCCAAGCCATTAACCCAGGGTTGCCACGTGGGGTTTCCGAAACTTAGGGTTACCGTAAGGTTCCTTTAAAGGGGTACTATCAGGGTTCTATAAAAGGTTTAGGGTTTAGAGTTTCCAAAAATTGAGGGTACCTTATTTTGGGGGTCTTGATAATGAGGATCCTACTATCTAGGGCACTATATTAGGGTCACCTTTATTTTCGGAAACCACACATGTCGATTACTGTGGAAGTTGGACTTCTCAGTGGCAAGAAAGCTTCCGTGAAAGCTGACTTGGAAGAAGACGTTGGATTACTACAGCGTCGTGCGCATGCCGCACTTGGAGTCGTCGGAAGTGGTCGGCTCGTGGATTCATCTGGCTGTGTTCTAGATCAACGTGCACGAATACAGGATGCCAGGATTCAGAATGGTGATTGGCTGATCTTGCACGTAAATCGAGTTCATGCCTGTGCCACCTTCTCCGCTTTTGCTGCAGTTCTTGGCGATGGATCTGTCGCGACCTGGGGTGAGCCCGTTTTTGGTGGAGACAGTAGTGCTGTGCAGGATCAGCTGCAGAACGTGCAGCAGATTCAGGCCGCTGACTACGCTTTTGCTGCTGTTCTTGGTGATGGATCTGTCGTCACCTGGGGTGATACCGCCAAGGGTGGCGACAGTAGTGCTGTACAGCATCAGCTGAAGAATGTGCAGCACATCCAAGCCACTAAGTACTCTTTTGCTGCCATTCTTGGTGATGGATCTGTCGTCACCTGGGGTGGTGCTGCCACGGGTGGTGACAGTAGTGCGGTACAGAATCAGCTGAAGAATGTGCCGCAGATCCAGGCCTCTCAGTATGCTTTTGCTGCCATTCTTGGTGATGGATCTGTGGTGGCCTGGGGTGATGCTGCCCTGGGTGGTGACAGTATTGCTGTGCAGGATAAGCTGAAGAATGTGCAGCAGATCCAAGCTTGTATTGCTGCGTTTGCTGCCATGCTTGGTGATGGATCTGTCGTCACCTGGGTCATGCTGCCAAGGGTGGTGACAGTAGTGCTGTACAGAGCCAGCTGAAGAATGTGCAGCAGATCCAGGCCTCCTACTACGCTTTTGCCGCCATCCTTGGTGATGGATCTGTCGTCACCTGGGGTGATGCTGCCAAAGGTGGCGACAGTAGTGCCGTGCAAGACAAGCTGAAGAATGTGCAGCAGGTCCAAGCTTGCGGTTCCGCGTTTGCTGCCATCCTTGCTGACGGATCTGTCGTCACCTGGGGAGATGATCGCTTTGGTGGTGACAGTCGTGCTGTAGAGTCTCAGCTTAAACATGCGCAGCAGATCCAAGCCACTTTTTCTGCTTGTGCTGCCATTCTTTGTGATGGTTCCATCGTGACCTGGGGAATGGATGCCTATGGTGGTAATAGCAGTGCTGTGCGCGATCAGCTGAAGAATGTGAGGCAGATTTCAGCCTCGCACTACGCTTTTGCTGCCATTCTTGAGGATGGATCTGTCGTGACTTGGGGAGATGTTTGCTGTGGTGGCAGGGCAAGTGCTGTGCAGGATCAGTTGAAGGATGTGCAGCAGATCCAAGCCTCTAGTTGTGCTTTTGCCGCCATTCTTGTTGATGGATCTGTCGTCACTTGGGGATCTTCGCACTGCGGTGGTGACAGCCGTGCTGTGTGGGATCAGCTGCGGAATTCGTAGCAGCCCTCGGGAGGTAATTAAGGGGCCCTAAAAATTACCTACACTATTTTGGGGGTTCCTTATTATATTTATAGTATAATGGGCCCCAAAACCCTATTCTAATTATGAAGGCCCCTATATTAGTCCGTGGTGAAGGACGGCCAGCTCTTAGTACACGAAATCGTGAAGGCCATGAGCCGATGCTCCGACAGGCTCCTTCCTCGCTCTGCTACCTTTGGCCGGTTTAGGGTTTAGGGGTTTAGGGGTTTAGGGGTTTAGGGTTTAGGGAGGACCAGATCTGCGCGGTCAACGGTGGGCGCGAAGTGGATGTGATGAAACAGCTGCTGAAGACCGAGTCTGAAATCATGCTGGAGTTTCAGCGGAGGAGATTCGCTGAGGCGGTTGCGAATTGATAGATGCGCATGATGGACTCCCCATCCGAGCGTTGACAAGGTCGGATTTAGGGTTAAGGGACATGCAGATCAGTGGACGTAAAGGTCCTGGTGAAGCCTCTGCAAGTGAGTTGGAAGGTAGTGTTCCGTAGCATTCAGGCATGAGTACAAGCTCCTAGTTCAAAGCAGGTTACGACGGTGCACTCGGTAAGACTAACACTAAGAGGTTGGTAGAGGTCTCTCGTTTCCGTCCTGAAATTCATTGGGGGCTCTGCGAGTGTGTGGCACAGAACACTTGATCGCCCTAAACGTATAGGGTTCACGATTTGCTTGATCTGGCATGTTCAGCACCGCTGTTGCCAATACTATGGCGGCTTGGGTTTTGGGCGTGTAGCGCAGCATAAACACACAGCTCTGAAATCTAGTCCTTTACTCTTGGTGTCATGGTATCACTGTCAACAGTCCCTAGAACCCTAATCCCTAAACTCAACAGTTTTCGGCGAACAGCAGTAGGTCCATGTACCCCGGATGCCCCAAACCGTAAGCCCTAAACGACGCAGATCTACACCTTTCAAGCCTATTCACAAGTCCAGAACTCGACGATGCGAAACCTCTTAATCCACGAAGCCAACACCTGACACCTCAAACACTACAAGCCCTACACTTGGGTTGGGGGTTTAAAGGTCCTGTTCTGGCAGCCGGCAAGCCCAGTTTGAAGAAAAGGCTCTGGACCCAGGCCAAAATCCTCTTTCAACACATCCAGCCCAAGGCACTTCTCACCATTAGAATATGGACTCCTTGAAGTGACACGTATAGAAACCTGATGAAACCCTGTTCAGACCTTTGATGAAAGAGCTTCCTGAAACCTGATAAGACCTTGCGACGGCTTTTGCATAACCCTTAAAAACCCTCATGCCAAACCCTTACAAGACTCGAAAAACCGATGCTTAAGCCCCTGAGCACATAAGCCCCTAATCCTGAACCCTAAACCCTTTACCCTCCCGATGCAACCTCCCACAAAGGCAGCGAGGATTCGAAGGAACTGCTTTACCATTCTCGCAGATTCCCGGGCCGCCGCTTCGAAACACCTCAAGTTTGGGATTCATAGGTCATAGGAGGCCAAAAGGGGTTTTAGCCTATGGGGGTTTAGTAGGGATTAGGGTTCCCATAATAGGGTTCATATTCAGGAATCCCTGCCCCAAGAATCTTAAACCCCCTTTTTGGCCTCCCATCAGGGATGTTTAGGTAGAGTTCAGTGTTTAGGGTTCTTTTAAGGGTTCCTGGAAGGGTATCAGGGGTTCCATGAATGTTTATATAGGGGTTATTTAGGGTACCTGTAACGGCTTATCAAGAGGGTCCATAAGTAGACACGTTGATAAACAACCAGCCGCGCGCCCGAAGACGACGGAAGCTGAGGAAGTGGCCTGTTCTTGGCGCACTGCCAACATTCCTGTCTTTCGATGGCGTGAAGGGCCTTGAGCCTTTTCTGTCAATGGCTCGATGTCTTGGCATAGGGCGGGGTCTGACGGATCTGTTGGCTGCTTCGTTGCAGTTTCTAGAGGCATCTGGCACGGGCCCATACATGGGCGTTTCTGATTTGTGCAACTTCTTCGGGTTTGGAAAAATGTGTGTAGCCTGTCCCACTTGGGAGCAAATCAATGGATACATGTACGCAATGCACGCACTGCATACAACCCACACATGCATACATTCATCGGTACATGCTCCGAGTCAGTCTTCCATCCTACGTTCTTACATGTTGCACGCATGCATGACGCATGATGCATGCACGTGCAACACACACACGTAGTTCGGCGGTCAGCATCGAGCCTTGTAAACTTTGACCTCAGCTTTTAGCCTTGCAGGCGTCAGGGTTTTAGGGATTGGAGTTTACAGCTTCGGGATCAGCATGCGAGTGGTCTCAAGCGCACCGTGAGGAATGGCAATACGGCATTCACCATGTGTGCCAGAGAACCTTCAGCAGTGATACCGCAAGAGGGGGACGTGTAGGTTGGATGACTGTTCATGCTACACAGGCACTGATTGTCAAACGGTCGTCGCGTGATCAGCATGCACAATTTCATTGGTGCAATCTCGTCGTGCTTATGGAGGTTCATGCTTAGTTATAGTGGAATTGCAAGTAGGGTAGCTATATACGTATACCATATTATAGGGAAATTAGAGAACCCCACTTACAACCACCCATGAACCTCCCAGCAGGTGAAGGTTAGCTCTTGAAACTCTTTGTGACGTAGCCTCGTCAAATTCAGAGTTTGGGGTTGAGGAGTTTTCAATCCTTTGGGTTTAGGCATGTTTAGGGTTTTGGGGATGTTTATTGTTGAGGGCTTTTGAGGGCTTGGGGATATGTAGGGTTTGGGGTCAAGTCTGTTTAGGGTTTGAGGTTGATGGGGATTATTCCAAGGCTGAGTTCCCAAAACAAGAATCTGGAAACGGGCTTCAGGTTCAGATTTTAGGGAGTTTTGGGGACAAGCAGGCCTGCTGCACAACAGCGAATGCCTGGTTCCACTCAAGCCCCAAAACCCTTCATGCACGCCGAGACCTCGTCTGGCTGAGATTGAGTTTCGAGAGAGAGTTTAACAGCCAAAACCTTAAAGCCAACCCTAAAGCCCGAAAGCCTACAAGCCCTAAACCCCAAAACCTTGAGCCCTAAGCTAACCTAGAGCGAGAGCGCAGACCCTAAAAACCCTAAACCCGACTTGTAAAAGCTGCCCGTACCCAAAGGCCCCATAGTAGTTCCTTTTTGAATCCTCAAAACGAACTTCTTTGGGGCCTTTGGGTAGTTGCCTCTCAGGAGAAGTACCACCAGCACATGTATGACACCTACGGCCCCATCGTGAACACCACCATGCCGGGAGACGACAACTCGGCAACTCGCCTGCAGTCGCCGTAACGGGTTCAGGGTTTAGGGTTTATAGGGTTTAGGGTTTAGGTTAACCTACGTAACCCTCCGAACCCACGAGAAGGTGTAGCATGAAAAATAGTCTGTGCTAGCATCGCTGTCGCGCCGACTTATGCCTCGAAAGGAACGTCCGGTGATGCCAGGATTTTACAAATCCTTAAATCCCTAAGCTTTTAACCCTAAGCTCCCAGCCCTAATGCTTTGGGAACCAGAAGTTATCCGGCTGGGAAACAGGCGGATAAGCCAGTGGGGGGAGATCCCCAGGTTCTCAAATTGATCGTTATCTAAGCATTGATATTGGAGGAGCTAAGGAGCCAGGGATGATGATAATCACTGTTGCATAAAGAGCTAAAGAGCCAAGGGAACCCCAAAACCACTGGTTAGTTAGCATCTCTCAACTTTATCGTACGCCCCCTTTCTCTAGCGGCCTGAATACGGTATTGGGATCCCGATGACATCCGGTTTGAAGGGGAACTTGAGTTTCCCAGAGAGCTCAACACCCCCTAATTCAGGAATAGACCGTCAATCATAATATTAAGGCCCGTGCAAGTTGAGGTAGATGCCTTAATTAAGAGAACCCTATAACGCCATCCAAAACCCCGTAAAATTAAGATATATTCCTGAATAAAGGGATACTGGGTACTCGGGTCTACATTTCTCTTCACTCAGGAAGTTTGATGTCGTCTTCGGGCTTGGTGACATGGGGCCTTCAAGGTGTTTAGGGTTCATCGGCTTTAGGGGTTTCGGGTTTAGGGCGTCAGGGTCCTTGGCCGGAAGTTGTCGATGTACAAACTACGACTTAGTCTGCGTGAGTAAGTTTCCCACAACCGAAAGATTTGGGTTTAAGGTTTAATTACTGTCAACGGGGCCTTCAACGCTAAACGGCAAAGTTCTAAATCCACACGGTGACCCTGAACTCCAAGCCCTAAGCTCTAAACAGCAATCCCTGAGCACATTCTGGGACGAGGTCCTCATCTTCGACCCACGCGAAGCTCGCAAAGTCTTCCTGCATGAAGGCCATCGCGTAAGGTTAGGGATTTGCTCCCTTTCGGGTGTAAGGTTCAGGGCTGTATAGGGCTTAGAGCTCAGGACGGAGTTCGGAAAAACTTCAGTATGTCAGATGTGTTTTGTACTTGCAGCTGTTGTTGTTGGGACCTGAAGTTCGGAAACCTGGGATATGTCAGATGAGCTTTTGTACTTGCAGCTTGAACCCTAAACCCTGAGCCCTGAAGTTGGTCCTGTGCTACCGGTCACACCATCACGAGAGCAGATTCCGTCTCCAGCTTGGAGTGCTTCCATCATCCCAGAGCCTCCGCGGCCCTCAACAGGGTTGCATTAAAGACGAAACCCACCGAAATGCTTTTTTTTTTTTGAGAGGGGGGGTCCTTATTATAGCTATAGTATAGTGTACTATAGGGAAATCCCAAAACCTGAAAATCGCTGAGCGCTTTTGCCTAAGGACAAGATTTAGACGGCTGTTGAAGCATTTCAGGTTTCGCCTCAGCTTGTTGGTTTTCCTCGAAGCCTGTCGTTACTCGACCTTCCAGGAAGAGCAGGCAGATGGCTATCATGATCTTGATGCACTTGGTACTGACGATGATGATGACAACGATGATGATGACGATGATGGTGACGATGATGACGGTGATGATAATGATGGTGATGATGACAGTGGTGATGATGACAGCGGTGATGATGGTAGCCACTTGGAGGGTCGGGGGACTTAGTAAGTAGGTAGTATGTAGACTTATGAGTACCCCAAAAGGGACCCTAATTGGGGGGTTATGGTGCTTACAAGTCCCAAAAACAACCAGTTACTAAGTCCCCCGACCCTCCAAGCATGATTTCCCTGCCATGTCCACCGCTCCCAAGACTCGAAGCTTCTCGCGTGACTCATCCCCCCCGGGGCAGGGCAAACGAACCGCGTTGTCTTAGAGAGTGAATGGGGGAACTTCATATTTTTGGGCCTCTAACTTTTAAAGTTTGAACTTTTGGGGCCCGGTTGTTGGAGAAGAAAGTTGTCACGCGATCCCATAGCTGTTGGCTTCATAGACGGCGGTATGCTACAAACACTACAAGCCTCAAGAACTGTAGAAGCGGTGTAGCCTGGAGCTCGATGGTCTGTATCACCACCGATGAGATCGCTTCAAGCATGACTCGCCTTCGTCACTATTGTCCCAGTGTGAGCTCGGAAAGCCCTCAACCGTCAAACATTCCTACACTTAGTAGCTCAGTGGATACACTTTACACTTTTTGGGATAATACTACCCACTATAAATCTAAAAGTGTACACTTTTTGGTGATAATATCACCCACTATAAAACGAAAAGTGTACTCTTTTGGGGGGCTTATGAACTCAGCAACTAAGTAAACCGTCATCCCCTGGGCCTTAGGTACTGCCCCCATACAGCAAGAGTCTATAGTAGGGCTACCATTAAGGTCCTAACATATCTATACTATGAGCATTATTCAACTATTACTATATAGTAGAGCTACTGTTAAGGTCCTAATATATCTATATTATGAATATATTTTAACAATTACTGAGTGGGGGCCGTACCCACCCTAGAGCTTAAAGCAGGGTAGAAATGCTCCCTGGAGAGGCAAATACCCGAAGGGTCCCACAAACGACTTGTGGGCCATGCACTACTGGAAGAAGAAGCACAACCAGGAAGCGGGTTTAGGAGTTAGGATGTGCATACTGTTTTCTCGTCGAGAGGTCTGCTAGTGACTGGTGGATGTTAGGACTCCTAGTGTGAAAGCCCTGGATTATGGAGGTGAAAATAGGGGCCTAAATAATTGCCAAAACTATTTTGTGGGTTCTTTGTAATACTAAAGCATAATGGCTCCACAACCCTATTCCGACGATTAAGGCTCCTACACCAAAACACCCTTAAAGATCCCTGATAGTAAGCCCTCTCTAGACCCTTTCAAAAAGGAACCCCACTTTAACTATTAAGACCCCGACATTAAGTTTTAGAGCTTTGGGTTCGGAGCGCACGCCTTGATATGGGTGTTTCCGTTAATTTTGGTATTACAAGAATTTCCTTGAAGTGTTCTAGAAGGGAGCCATATAATATAGGGACCTTATTAACGAGAATAGGGTCTTGGGGTATATAATAATAAAGGGTTTCCGAAAATTATGGGTACCCTTACAAAGTTCCTACTATTTAAAGGTATTATACTGGGGTCCAATACCCTTGCTCTAGTCTTCGGCAAGAAGGTTCGGATCGGGCTCCAGGAGGAAGGTTTTGTGTGATGCAAGGGCCCGGTTTCGGCCTTGATGAAACACGGTCTTCCTCGATAGGCATAGCATAATATAGGTTCTACAGGGACTGTCATCGGCGTACCATGCGAGTGTCAAAAAATAGGGACTGTAGAGAGATTCTCTCACCAATTTTCGGACCTTCTACGAAGAGATTCGACCGCGCCCAAACTCGTGTTCAGTCTGGTGGGTGTGGAGCGCTGAGTTCAAGGCTTTTGGGGCGGCAGGACTGGCCCAGGTTGGACTTGTTTCGTGTTGCTGAAAGGGGTGGCATTGTTGCTGAGCTTCTATGGCGATGTTCTTCACTCTGCATGTGGTTATGGTTTCTGTTGCTACTCCTTACCTTTAGGGCCAAGCTTGAGGTTCTACCTGACGGACAAAAAAACTTTATAGATCCTAAACCCTCCGTAATTTCACAACCAAGTTTCAGATGTCCCCTCCATTCCGAAGGAAGGTACTTTGATGACAGAGTCCGGGGAAGTCTGGCAGAAAGGCCGACATGAACTGCAGAAGGACCACTTCAGTGCTTGTTTAGGGTTTGAGGATTTGAGGTGTAGGCTTTAGAGTATGGAATCTTCACAAGGAGCTGTACTTCAGGTTTCAGGGTTTTGACGATTTTAGGCGTACAGCTTTAAGGGTATGGAATCTTTCGCAAGGAGCTGTACTTCAGAGTTGTGTTGTTTGGGGCTTTGTGGGTTGCGCGCTTCTGGAATCTGGTTATAGGGAACTTAGCTGATTCCGTTTAGGGAAGTCCGTTTACAGGAGCAGTGCCCAGGGGCGCATGAGGCTTCTTGGGTTCTTAATGTAGTACATAGTGGGTTCTTGTTAAAGAACTGGAATCTTCCCTCCTGCATAGGGGGAACTTCATTTAGATGATTTGAAGGGGATCAAACTCGGAGCCCAACCAGGGCCCTCACAAACCTGCTCCGGTTGGGTTTGTTTGGACCAGTGTACTACAGGGGCCTGAATCATAAACATAGTAATTACAATATGCCCCCAAAACCCTATTCTACCCAGAGGCCCCAAAGTAGTTCCTTTTTGGGATTACCTAATAGGATTCTATATATGAACCCCAAAAAGGAACCACTTTGGAGCCTTTGGGTAGTTATTAAGGCCCTCAAGGTCCCCCCATATTCAAGCTCGACCAATAACGGACATCCTGAGGCCTCGATGTGGACGTACCCAGAGAGCCCAATACCCCTTAATTAAGGAATATAGCTTATATCATAATATGAAGCCCTATATATTTTAAGCCATATTCCTGAATTAAGGGGTATTGGGCTCTCTGGGTAGATGAAGCCCCCGGCAGGACCTGTTCAATCATGCTGCTGCTAGCAGCTACTGCGATCTCATGTCTGCTGCGAGCGACTTGCTCTGAGATTTCGGTTGAGGGAGCGCAGTCTTTCCACTCAGGTTTCTCCTTTGTGCGGAGAGGGGAGTTTCCGAAAATTAGGGTACCTTATTTTGGGGTCCTTATAATTAATAGGGATCCTAGTTTAGGGTACTATATTAGGGTCCCCGATCTATGGAAACTCCCATATCTGGTCCCAGAGCTGATGCCTACTCTGTCACGTAGCTCGCTGCTCGCTCTCAGAGTCAGAGCAGAATAGGTGCTTTTAATCGCCTCAATCACCTTGGAAGCAAAAATTCAACCGTTGAAGCCCGACATCCTAGGTGATCAAGTCATCGAAGCAGTGGAGCGCAAAGTGGCCGAAGGACCTCCTGTGTTGTTTGTCGTGCTGAGGGCGCAGGGCTGGAAAGGCTTAGGATTCAGGGGTTTCAATCTGTGGGTTTGGGCTTTTTGGAACCTCTGTATTGGGGGTTTAGGCTTGCCAGTTTAAGGGGGTGTAGGGCAGTAGGGAGACGGAACAGATCCTCGAGCCTTATCTTTTCTGAATCGAACGAGGACCCTGCAACTTCTAGGGGCCCTGAACCCTAAACCCTAGTAGCTGAGTGGATGCACTTTACACTTTTTGGGAAAATGCTACCCACTATAATTATAAAACGAAAAGTGTACACTTTTGGGGGCTTATGAACTCAGCAACTAAGGTTACGACCCGGAGCTGCGCCACGCAAGTTTCTAAGTTGATGGCCTATGCCTTAGGGTTTGGGATAACATGGGCCATGCAGAGCCGAACTTTTGTTTATGCCGGGCGTCTGATTTTCTTATAGAACTCCATGCAACGCAGTTTTTTTAGGGAAGGTAGGGCATCGGATGTTTCCGGTCTGGGGTTTCTTAGTTGGCGACATGGATTCTGGATGGGATTTGCCCTGGCTGAGAGGCACCTGCGACTTCGAAACGATGCTGAAGGCATCCAGGCTTTGATCTGGCATCTGCGTAGTAAGCGTAGGCTCTGGGGCCTTTTCATGTTACTTGCAATTCCAACCCTCGGGCTTTCATTCATACGTAACTTAGGCCTAAACCCTGAATCCATAAACCTTTGATGCCGTAGCCTCGAGTACTCAGGCTGCGAAGACGACTGCCCCACAGACTCAAACTCATTGCACCCTCCGCCCGCCTCAATCAGCCTTGACCAGATAAAGCGTGCGCCGCAAGCCCCAAAACCCTCACTGCCTTCGTTCTCTCCTGATGGCTTTCTTTGGTAACCTCACCTTATCAACGCGATGCGGCATGTATAAAGTGCATGCCCTAAACCTCAGCCCTCATTGTAGGCTCGTCCTAGCAAGGCAGCAGACAACAACATCAACCTTCAACATACCCTAAGGCTCCAAAGTAGTTCCGTTTTGGGGTTCATATATAGAATCCTATGAGGTAATCCCAAAAAGGAACCACTATGGAGCCTCTGGGTAAATTGACCAAGTCATCCATCGGTGACGTGTTCACCGCCGCCGTGCTCGGGCGCCCATGCGGCTTCAGCGCCTTGGGAGCATACTTTCAGGGCTGTACCCTAAGGCCCCAAAGTAGTTCCTTTTTGGGGTTCATATATAGAATCCTATGAGGTAATCCCAAAAAGGAACTACTTTGGGGCCTCTGGGTAATAATTGCCTTTCGATTTTGGGGGTTCCTTATTATAATTATAGTATAATGGGGCCCCCCAAACCCTTTTCTAACTATTAAGACCCCTATATTACTGGCCCTGGTGTTCAGAGGCCACCATCTATACGGAACCATGACGACTAGTATCCCCTGACGCGCCAAACCATACGCTGGATATTGATCGCATCGCGTTTTTGTTTTCGGACGCCTTTCGCAGGAAACCGAGATGTCAGAGCAACCAACAGAACACTAACTCTCATGTACTGAACGTGCGGTGCATGCAATAGCATAATCAGCTCTGTCCGCATGCATGTGCACATGCGTCTTTTCCGTTGGTATGGTTTGCACATCTGCATAACACCAAGCTGCTCAGAACCCCGAGCCCGACAGCCCCGGCTGCCAATATTTGCCGATTGAGCTCGCTCCACATCTGCAAGGATCCACCTTTGCCACGCAACCGGCCCTCCGAAATCCCAACCTCAACAGCAAACCCCCAAAATCCTGAGCCCCTGAACCCCCAGTAGACCTTTCAATTGTCTAGCTGCTAACCTTTGGCGGTTGGAAGACCGCAGAGCTAGGCCTTTATACCCGAGCCAAAAGGCCAGAGTCCTTCAAGGTCTACTGTCTACACACCACCATACTTGGAGGTTCATGGGTAGATATGTGTAGAGTTATAAGTCCCCTAATATGCGATATAATTACAGTTACCTTGCTTATGACCCCACTTATATCTACCCATGAACCTCCAAGTAGTCCCCACGAAGCCCCCTCGTCCTAAATCGTTCGCACCCGCGCCGAAATTATTCTAGTTCGGCCAGCCATGCGGGCAACCCTAAACCCTTCACCTTATATGAACGTTACCGCTACACTGCTACACCTGAACCCACACAAGCCAACAGCCCTAAACCCTAAACCCAAACCCCAGCAGCGAAAATCACCCGAGGCTGGGACGGCTGCAGTCAAGAGGAGCTCGACTGGGCCCAGACGAGCGTGGATGTGTTTGCTGGCTGCGAGCAAACTTACCTTTGGTTACTGGTAGTAGGGAATGGAAGAATGGTAGTAATAGTAGTCATAATTGTACCTGGTTAGTAGGGAATGGAAGCATGGTAGTATATAACAGTAGTCATAATTGTACCCCATTCCTCCATTCCCTACTAACCAAAGGTAAGCAAAGGGTTGCGATAGGGGTTGTTGCGAGGGTCACTCCTTCACTGTGCGGGCCTCGCACTGCAGTGTTTTACACGGTGAACGTTTTGCAGGGTACTGGTCATGGGATATAGTCTAGTTTTGTCGGAAGTTTCATGGTAAGGGGTCTTACTGCGCCAGGAACGAAAGTTCGTTGCATCGGGTAGGTCTATTGACACACGCTTGCCAATTTTTTCCCCCATAGACTCCTTCACGAAGTCTCGACTGACGTGAGGCCCGGACGTGTCTAGTTCCTCCGTCAGTTAAAAACAGTATATGTTTATTTTGGCATCGAAATTCCTCCGCTGGCCAGGCCACGTAAAATGCACTTCTCTGTACTCCGGGTCCTCCGCCATCCCGCTGATGTATAACGTGCATGGGTTTTGGCATGTTATGGAGCTGTTATGGATTTGCTCGCTATTGTAACCTGGTCGGATACTGTAGGGTATTGTCGGGTCTGGGAGGGCTCCTCTGAGGTTGGATAGGGGTTTATGATGTAACGATGCCCTTTCGCACTGTGTGGACGTATGCAGTATGCACGACAAGCTCATTCGGCTTACAAACCACACACAGAGACGTGCACTCAAACTTCTTTATGTAGGCTCCCCCTTAACGGAGCCCTTGTCGGCTTTTAAACATTTTAAACGACCGCAAGACACCGAGCGACGCAACGGTCTCAGGGTCAAGGGCTTCGCGCATCTGATCGCGCAGCCCTGGATGCAGGTCTGGCCCGAGGCACCAATTCTTCCTGGGGGGGTTTAGGGCTTGCCAGGAGCCCCCAAGTACCCTTAAATAAAGCCCTTTGTGGTCCTTAATAAGTGGGTATTTAGGGTACATTAAAGGGGGGCTCCAGGTGGGGCTTAGGTTTCAGTTTAGGGTTGGGGGGCTGTTCTGAATTTTGGGGGCGTGGAGGAGTGGGAGGGGTTTGGCTGCTCAGAGTCCTCTGCAGAGATACTATTGGGTGGTTCCGCGATAGGGTTTCGACGGGCGGAGCTCCGTTTTCCAAACTTGCCGGCTTTCAACAGCTGAAAAGGTTCATTGTTGCGCACACTGCTCCGATTTGTTGTTTGAAAACTCAACAGAGTCAACTTCTACGAGCCGGCCCCATGTCATAGATTGATCCAAAGATATGTGCTCCGCCAGATCCGTCCAAAACTGGACATGACCTGTCAGGCCTTCAAGACGTACAGGGAGCTCCTCGGCATGCCTCAAGCAACGTTGTTGATGTACCCTGTTGCAGGTAAGACGTACGTACGGGCGGCAGGCTAGTCAGCAAAGGAGCGGTAAGTGTGCGACACGACATCCCCCAAGCTCTTGTGGGGCATGTGTGATGCTATGCTTCACATGTGCACAGTCTGATGCACAACCAGCTGCAAAAATCTAAGCGCACACATGCCCTCATCTCTTGCATGCCTACTTCCTTCCGTCTTGTACACCCACCTATCCAGAATTTTTGCCCGACTTCGCATCACCGACTCGAACCCCAACAGCCTCCTACCCTTTCAAGCCCTAAACGCAAAACCCTAAGCCCAAATCCCTAAACCTCCTAAGCCCAAGAACCTAAGGCCCATAAACGCGAAAGACCTTCTTGCCCGTCGCTTTTCGAAGGTTCGAGGCCACCCAGAACAGAAGCTGCGAGCTGAGCCGGAAGATGGTAAGAACGATGCTCGGCGAAGTGGGCACCGTTTAATGGATTCTTGAAGGGTTCCTATAAGGTCTTTGGGCGTTTAGGGGATTCCTTTAAGGGATCCTTTAACACATTCCTTTAGAGTATTCCTTGCCTTTCCGCGGGTTTTGGGTTTAGGGCTGTGGAAAGGTGATCAGTTTTTGCAACCTGGGGTAGCCGTGTGGCACGAGTCCACAGCACAGTCGGCGCCTCGGTTCCTGGCATATGCATAGTCCAGGTGTAAAAGGCCGTGGGTTTACGTGGCTTCTGCTTGCCCCAACCCCGGGCGAAGTGGAAAGCCTGTTGCAAAAGGGTGACGAAACCGCAAGGTTTTGTACCAGTTACCAGATGTCTTCTTACCACTTACCCAAGTCTTTAATGATATACTTTTACCAGTATACTGTAGTAATACATGTACTCGGATAGATTGCGCAGTCTTCTTCCTATCATGGGGCTCCTGCAGTCGTTACTGCGACGGAGCTTAAACCTCAGACCTCGACTTCCTGGAACACCGAGATAATCAAAGAAAGCAATCAAAAGGGTTCCTATAAGGGACTTATAAGGGTTCCTGTAAGGGACTTGGGTACTAGTCTAGGGTTTGGGGTTCAGGAGTTTAGGTTGTGGTCTGGAGTCGAAGGATTTGGGTTTAGGGTTCGGAGGGGCGGATCGGCCAACTATTTCGAGCCAGTCGTCCATTTCCTCGGTAGTATTACTTGGAGGTTCATGGGTAGTTATAAGTGGGTTCAGGGTTTAGTGTTTAAGGGGTTTATAAGTAGAGTAACTATGATTGTAACTCATCTTAGGGGAATGATAGCCCTACTTACAACTACTCATGAACCTCCAAGTAGGGAGACCCCTTCAGGGCTCCTTTAGGGGCCCTTGTAGGGTTCCTTGAGGGGCCCTTGTAGGGTTTTTTTTAAGGGGGACTACTTCTGGCTTTCTTAATATGGAGAGGGTCTACAACCCCGAGGCTCGCCCTAATCCTAACTCCTGCCATTGTGCGAGTTCTACAGGCACGACGTGTCTCGAAGTCTTGTCTGCACACACCCCCAGCAATTTCCTGACCCCAACAATCCCTCAACCTGAACCGTGCAGCCATGAATCCCCGATTTGCTCGAACCCTTATAGCATACTATAATTTATTACAGCATATTGTGGTATATTGTAGTGTCCTATAGTACATGGTAGTATATTCCAGTATGCTTATGCCACTGTATATTGTAGAGTAGAAACCCCTAATCTCAGGGCCTTAGAGCGATACGAGAACTTCGATGGCCCAGAGGACATCGGCCCGGCCTTTGCTTTTCGGTCTTGGGGTTTCCCCTCGTCAGAGTTCCGTGCTCATCTGAGCTTTGAAACACCATACTTTAATACTTTCTTTCTTAAAGGAAGCATCATGAAATACAAGTTAACACTTTTCTCCCTGGATACTTAAAAGCCCAGTCATGTAGGGTTCGGATAGAATTGATTTTACGTCCTAGACCTGGGACCAGGATGATGTGCGTTTCAGATTAACCTGGCCTGTCATTTTGGGTAGTGTGGGCTACTACAGGGGCCTGAATAATTACCACTACTATGTCTTGGGGGGGTCCTTGTTACAATTTACTATAATGGGCCCCGAAGCCTTATTCTAATTATTAAGGCCCCTAATTTCGACCCTAAACTCTAAGCCCTAGAGTAGACAGATAGTGCAGGACACGAGTCTGAGGAGCATAAAAGTCGTTTTTTTTAGCCGTGCCTGAGTAGGAAGCACTGTGCACCCTAATTACCCTAGGGGCCCAAATGATTACCAATACTATTTTGCGGGTTCCTTCATATAACTTTAGTATCATGGGCCCCCAAACCCTATTCTTGTCATTAAGGCCCCTACCCAAAGGCCCCAAAGTAGTTCCTTTTTGGGGTTCGTATATAGAATCCTCTAAGGTAATCCCCAAAAGGAACTATTTTGGGGCCTATGGGTAGAGTACACCAAACCGGTTTTATCAACAGAAGCCTGAGGCTGAAACACTAAATCCCCAGACCCCTACTTGGAGGGTCAGGGACCTTAGTAAGTGGGCAGTAAGTAGACTGAAAAGTACCCTACAAGGGACCCTAATTGGGGTTATGGTACGTATAAGTCCCTAAAATATCCAGTTACTAAGTGTCCCGACCCTCCAAGTAACCAAGAAGGATAGGTGTCAGGAACCACAAAAGGACCCAAACATAAGCTTGTGGGTGGGATTTTCCTATCTTATTGCTGTGTTAAACAAGATGTTGTGGGATGTCCCAAACTTGTTTATTTTTGTTTAGGTGCTGTTTTGGGTTTTCAATGTGCAGGACACGGCAGCTTGAGGGAGGTCAACATTCCGTGTGACCACGAGACCTCAGCAAGCCCTTCAGGCATTAACCCGATAGGGGCTGAAACCCACAACTCAGTTCCAATCATCAAGGCCCCTATTTTCATTGAGGAATATACCTCACACCACAATATGACGGCCGCATAATTTGAGGCATATCCCCAATTAAAGGGTACTGGGCTCTCTGGGTACATCTCTCACATTGAGCCTGAAGATTTGAGACCTTCCATTTTAATGCTCAGGGTTCCATGTTGTGATATTTTGTGGTTATACTTTGATATGCTGCAATGTGCCCCAAAACCCTAGTCCAGTTATCAAGGCACCTATGTTAGTTGGATTGTGATCAAGGAGCAGATGCCTTGGGTCGTTCGCTTACACAAGCGGGGCGTCTTCGATGTCGAAGGTGTCTGCCGCGAAGCCCGGATGCAGGGATGCCTAAAAACATACAGTTCGTCTAATCCCAGACCTTCCAAAATCCCTTAAATAAGGAATATACCTTAAACTATAGTAGGATCCCTAATATGATTTAAGGTATATTCCTTAATTAAGGGGTTTTGGAAGGTCTGGGATTATAACTGTTCTGACCATCTAAGATTCCACCATGATACTAATATGATTTAAGGTATATTCCTTAATTAAGGGGTTTTGGAAGGTCTGGGATTATAACTGTTCTGACCATCTAAGATTCCACCATGATACTTCTTATGCATGGGGTGATGTGCACGCAATGCAACGCCACCCTAAACCCTAAACCCTTAAGGTGTAACTTGGCTTGCCCCATTGTCACAGGATCCTGGCTGAGAAAACCCGCCAAAGCTACTGGAGTTGTGGCCATGAGGCTTGAGGATTCAGGATTTACCTTAACCCAGAATAGCCTACCGCTTTCAGGACCTATATAACTGCGTAATAAGGAAATGATAACAGGGAGCCCTAAAAAGGTGGGCTTTTAAGTTTTAGGGACTTATATCAGGAAGTTAAAATAAGCAACCCTCAAAAAGTAGGTTGTTCAGGGTCAAGGTAAGTTCAGCATGTAGGATTTACGGTTCAGGGCTTCTTCTCCGGACTCCAAGTCTTGCCACCCTAATCCCCGACGTGTGGAATCTTAAGTAAGCTTACGTTCTGCAAGCCCCAAACCCAGAATCCTAACCCCAAAGTGCTTAACCCCAAACCCTGACCCACAAGGGAGACCGAAACCCTAATCGCATCAGACTTGCACCGGCAAACCCTTCGGGTTCGTGCCAAGGGTTTAGGGCTTGGGGCTTCTGGCTGGGATTTGTGGCATCTCAAATCGAGACCATGAGGTTGTAAAAACCTTTAGGTTCTGCTTCGGGGGTATGGTGTAAAGCCTTTGCCCGGCTTGAGGGTCTAGTCGCAGCATGGGTCGACTCCAGCATAGGCTACGATTCACTGGAGCACGTGTTCGGGATTTAGCTGTTGCGTGTACCCTAAGCCTCTTTTCCCCAGCTTTTACTGGCAGTCGTGTCAATGCTCGAACGCACTGGACTCTAAGTTAGCACAACCCCATCAGGTACACGACTGAGCCAGTTTTACATAGCCGATACTTTCCGCACGGGAGGGAAGCACCAGGAACATGCTGAAAGCAAAGGCGTCAGAAACGCGATTGCTCCACTTTCGCCATGGCCTGGGTGTCGTCGAGATCGCGAGCTGTGCTGGCAATCGACGTGTCTTCTGCCGGTGATGTCATGTCCTCGACCAAAGAAGTCAACGACCTTCATGAGCTTCTTTCTTGTGAATGCCATGGGGCTTTTTGGATGCTACAATTACTGGAGCCGGCTACCGTCTTTCAACGTGATCCCTCTTCAAGAGTTCAACCACACTGAGAAGCCTCCTGTTCAGCAGCTTCCGGCGTCCGGGACGCCGAAGCTTTCCTGCAGGGTTTTCGTGCGCGGAGAGCGGATGAAGCTCCGGCAAACAGCTTGTCCAGGCCTGCCCCCTGACGTCCCTTACGGCGAGACCTTGATGTTCAAAGGAAGCTGCTCCCAGGTCTTGAGGTAGTACTGTTTCCGCCTTCTAAGGCTTCATGCCTTACAGGAGTATAAGTATAGCTTGTTTAAACTTGAAACTAAGAAAGAGAAGAGAGCATCTTCTTGGTCCTTCCGATTGCTACTTAGACAGCTTTCGCTACTGTTGGTTTCGTTATTGTTTGCATGGTTAGTTCTAGCAGTATCCAGTGGTATTATGCAGCATCTGCACTAACCATGCCTGCATTGTTGTCTCATTATTAGTGCTATCCTTGGGATACTCAGAGACCGAGGTTCGCAGCTCTCGTGGATCTCAAGCAGTTGCACTAAGCCATCAGCCATTGTGGCAGAAGAACTTGAGATGGACCAGCCCGCAAACTCGAGCCGCTTTCTGGGTAGTTGATTATGTACACTTAACCCGTTTAGGGGCATCAGGACTGTATGCGCAGGTTTATAGACGCATGTATACTGTATACTCTCTCTCTCTCTCTCTCTCTGCATATATATATATATACATACATGCAGTGCTAGACACAGGCATACACACAGACTTATGCATGTACGTACGTATGTCTTGTCGTTGTACGTATTCCTGCAGTGCTGTACAACTCTCGTGGGGTGTATATGATCCTTCCTTGAGATGTCGACAACCAGGTTTTGAAGGCTGTGGCGTGGTCCTGGGCCAGATCGGGGGCGACCGGCGATGGCAGCATTACAATCTTATGGATGCTGTGCAGATGGTCTGTGGCAACAGGACTTAGGGCTACCATAAGAGATCCAAAAGGGTTCTATTGGCGAGTTGAAAACCCGTACAGCCCATGTTGAGCCTGCATCGTAATGCTACAGTAGCTTTTGCACAAACCTTTTTCGTGGGCACAGGACGTGCTTACCCATGCCCGACTGCATGGACGAGGTGCAGCAAAATTTGGAGCGATATCCGCCTGACAGCTTGGTTGGGCGTGCGCGAGCTTTTTGCCCTACAGCTCCAGAGCTGTGGGGACGTCGCTGGTTCAAAGCCTTCGAGACTGTGGTCCACAGCCTCAACCAAAGTAGACCCCACGACATGCCACCGAAAGATGCCTTGGTCGTCCACCTACGCTTGGGAGATGTACTGGAGGAGTCGGCTGCGTCGGTTGCCGAAATGCTTGCGAATCCTGTACCGTTCTATTTTGGCGAGAACGAGCTTGAAGCCTGGAATGTCTATGTCAGGCCTCTATCATCATTCAACAAATCCATTCCTCGCGATATTGTGCGTCGCCGGCATGTGGTTCTCGTAGCTTCGGCCGTCCATGCAGGAAGGAACACAAGCATTGAACTTCCACTGCAGCTGAAGCTGGGTCCTTAAATAATACCTTACTTTCTACAGTTTCATTTTGGAGTCTGCCTATCCCTAAACCCCTTAAACTCTCCTCACCCTAGACCCTAAAACTATCATTTCTGGACCTCGATGAGCGGAAAGGGGACGTCAACAACAACATATCACGGAGACGGGGGGAACCTTGGAAGCCCCTAGCTAGACCCAAAGCCCCCTATATCCTAGGACCTAGAGTAGGCCCTTATTCCCTTTTTTGAGGGCTCAGGTTCCCTTATGAGCCCCTTTAAACCGAAAAGGGCACGCTTTTTATTCCTAGGCTACTCTTGGGTCTAGTGTGAACCTTCAAGCCCTACACCCTAGTCCTAACTCCTAGGAAGTCCTGCCTTTACCTTCATGCAGTTTCCGAGTATTTGCGAGTTTCTTTGTCATAGTTGGGTAACATTTTGCATTTTTATGGGTGCTTAAACCAATAAGGAATACGAGTTTACATTTTTAAATCCTAACCCAACCATGAACTAGGTTTTGGGTGCCAAAGATGTATCCCTTCGCCTCGGTAATGCTCCCGATGAGGACGTACCTGAGCTGCAGCGCAGGGTTTAGGGTTTCCTTAATTCTAAATTATTTACCTGTTTAGGGCTCCTTATTATGACTTCTTTGTATAATTCCTTCAAAATGTAGGTTCTTCGGGGTTAAGGTTGGGGTTTAGATTGCCATGCCTGCTGCTCAGGTGATAGCACAGAGCCTGGGTTCAAAGAAGGGCTGTTTAGGGGTTGTGTGAAAAGGGTTTCCTAGATAGTATTAGGGAGACCCGTGCCAGGGGACCCTTCTTAGCCCTACTTATGGTTCTCTTAAAAGCGACCTTATTGAGAGGGTCTACATCCCCAAAAGTCCTCCTGATCCTAACTCCTTAGGATGTGCAAGTAACCGAACCACGACGGACAGTCATAAGAGTATTCGTAGCGCTACTATTAGTCGTACTAGGAATAGACGTAGCCGTAGGAAATTTGGTAACAGTTCTCGGAATTATGGAGATAAAGAGGGCGTGTACCAGTATGCCTAGTTTGATTCCCTGTTTTCATGTCCAATCTGAGCTCGGACGCTGCTCGATGCACTAGAAGTGAGTCACAGGTGCATGACGTGCGGTCTTACGGCCCCAACCAAGCAGAACGCGAAGATCTAAAGCCATCAAGGAACCGGTTTTTCAACGTAATATAGGGGCCTTAATAATTAATTGCGTATACTATTCGGGAGGGTTCCTGAATAAAATATACTACAATAGGCCCCAAAACCCTATTCTCATTATGAAGGCCCTCCTTACATTTTCGCCGGCTCACCACTCATTTCCGAAGCCTTCCTCAGGTACTCTACATGCTGGGCAGCCGGTTCTTCGTGGTTACCGGGGGGTCCTTCTCGGGGTCAATGGGCCGGCTTGTGGCCCGAAATCATGGCACCGTGTACAGGCTTCAGTAGGGAGGGAGGGCAGAGGCTGGCTCTGTTAACATAAGGCTATAAAGATTCCTCTGAGGTTTGGTATCAGGGCTGCTATAAGGCCTGCTGTAGGGTTGCTATGAGGGGGAGGGTTACTGTAAGGGCTGCTATACAGGTTACTCCAAAATTCACCATAAGCGTCCCTGTAAGGGTTGGTGCAAGTAGGGCTTGACTACTAGATCAGTGGTTGCAGACGGTGCAACACGCTCCGCGTGCTCAGCCATAAGTGCTGGCATTTACAGCTTGGCTGAAGGTCCCCAGGGCCTAGTGCATTGCAGTCCCTGCTCAAAACCCAGAGACTCCAAAACCCCTTAATTAAGGAATATACCTTAAAGTATAATAGGAGCCCTAATATGATTAAAGGTATACTCCTTAATTAAGGAGTTTTGGAGGCTCTGGGAAAAAGGTTTCCGGCCTGGAACGCTTTGCAGCAGGGTGCTGCTTGCACGTCGTCAGAGACAAACTCTGACGCGTGCACATGTCGCACAGCCCAGACGTTGAGCACAGCAAAAAGACGTGTGTTTTCGGTTTAGGTTAAGACCTTGTTCACAAAGGTTCGTCCAATTGCAAACTGATTGAAGTAGACACACAGCCTATCAGCTTCAGCTCGGTTCTGTGAATGCTGTGGTCGTGCTCCTGCGCATGCCGTTGGCGTTCCAACGGTGACACAGAAGCTTCAGACAAGAGTGGGGCCGACTACGAACACTAAACACCAGGATCCTTATCGTTAAGGTTCATAAATCGGGTACCCCTAACCCGACCTCAAGCAACCCATCAAATCTGCTCATTTTAGTGGGATCTTTTGTGCAGGAGAACCTGGAGGTTGGATAGTCCTGTCTCTGAGAACGACCCGGCCCCGCCGAGTTCGGCGTGGGGCTTCCAGGGTTTCAGGCGTTAAGGGTGTGCACTTTGCATGGGTCTGGACATGGGCTCTAAACTAAGACGAGGGTCTTTGTACTTTGAGGACGAGAAGAACACGGTGCTATGTCTTGAATATTTATTCCATGCAGGTTCAGGCACTCACGTCCGCCGTCAGCGCGCTATTTGTCAGGCACTGTTGCTAGCTTGACGGGATGCAGGGGAGATGACGCGATCCAACGTACAGGGTCTTTATGGCCTCTAGTTCAGCAACCTCCCTAGCCGTAGCTGAACACAGGCTGCAAGCATTCCGCGGCTCCCAGAATCTTAGCCGTCGATTCCTTCCGTCCTGGATGTGAGTAATGCAGATGTCCTTTGCAAAGGAAGCTGGCGGCATGATCATTGCTGGCTTGGACACCACTTACAATGTGCCACTGGGCAGAGATCGTCTGGTTGCAGGATGGGTGAAGAGGTTAAAGTAAGAGTGCGGCTGTCTGCCTAATATAGAGGCCTTGATCATAACCTTTGCTGTTCTGGGGTTCCTTATTATAGCTATAGTATAGTGGGCCCCACGACCCTATTCGAATTATTAAGGCCCCTACATTATCTTCACTGGCTTCTCACTTCCGGCATTGAGGGCCCCTGGGTTTCCGAGCTTGAACGGGGTTTGGGGGTCGGTCGTGCTGTAAGTATTTTCGGAACCCACAATAGTCCAGGTGTAAAAAGGAACCCATACGGAACAGTATCAGCAGTTATCATACTACGTATTGCAAGTTCCGCTAGAAGATTAAGCTTTGGGGGTGGAGGGCCTGGAAGTCCCATGCACCGAGCCATTCAGTGCAGTTCTACAAAAGACGGGGCCCCCCCATACACACATACGCGTGGCCGCCCCTACACATCTCCGTTTAGTTTTTGAGCGCTTGGCGGCCTTGTGTCTGTGTCGCTTGCGAAGATCGAAGAGCCGAGATAAAGTGCAGACGCAAATACTATAGGGGCCTAAGGCCTAAGGCCTGAAGAATGACCAGTGTAAATCATTTTGTGGGAGTCCCTTGTTATAGTAATAGTATCATGGGCCCCAAAACCCTGTTCAAATGATAAAGGCTCCAAAATCATCCTTGCGAAATTCTGTCAACTAAGGCTGATGTGGGCGATGATCAACCTGGCGCAGAATCCAGAGGCATTGCCTAAACCCAAAAACCAAAACCCCAAACCCTAATCCTTGTGGCTTAACCATATGAGGGAACAACCATACATGGTGTGCTTGATGCTGGTGTTTTTGTGCACTTTTTCCTTCATTCACTCCGCCGCAATGACAAGCCACATACATAGTTGCAGGAAATGCGCATGCTTGATAGGTAGGTGTTTTCCTGCGATGCTGCGCAACAAGAAACTTGTCGCATGTCGTTGCAAGCAAACCTCTTTGCTTCGCTCCAGTGCCAGCCCAAGCCGAGAACTGACAGGCCGGTCTAGGACACCCTAGGTCCCTGCAATATAGGGGCCAAAGAATATTTATCAATTACCTAGTAGAATTATACTATAAAGGAACCCACAACAGCATATAAAGGCTCCTGCAGTAGAACCCCGAAGACACCTTCCACAGTTTCTACTTGCTGTGCATCTGCGAATAGGCGCAGCAGAAGCTCCGCGAAGAGATTTACGAGGTCTGCGGATTTGGGAGGGCATGGCACGATTTCTAGCAGGATGTTGCTAGCGGGGGTGGTGGTGATCGTGAAGATGATGGTGCTGGTGGCGGTGATGGTCTTGTTGATGCAGATGCTGATGACGATGTTCACGATGCGGATGATGGTGATGTTGATAGTGACAACTGCGAGTAGATGTCTTTGCTGATGCTGGTGTTTGTTGCTCTCCTCATTGTTTTGTCGCGATGAATGCTGTTGATGACGATGACAATGATTTGCAGTTCAACCAGCGCTGCAGCACAGAGAGGCGCCCCAGCCCGTGACAGCCTTGATGGTGATGATGGCGTTAGTGATGCTGCGCAGAAGATGGTGGTGTTCAGTGATAAGTGCATATGCACGTCAAGGTGAAGGCGCACAGGATGAGGACGACCATCATGGCAGCTGCTCTCAAACCCAGTGATGATCCTGCCTATCGATCCCCGTGTCGCCACTGCCCAGCCATAGTTCTACCATGTCACCAGGCAACCTCGCAATTCCGCTGCGAGGGTTTGGAACAACGTTCTTTTATCGCAAGCATTCCATGCGGTCTCCCTGCCCCGGCCCGGTCGTTTGGTGACCCAACTCGCCGTATGTGGGCATCTTGGGGGGGTCCCAGAACCTTTCCTCCACATCCCCGTGAGTGGTCTTATGACCCCACCGGCCGCCGAAATCCGAAGCCCCCATTTTTGTGCTGGAGCTCTAAATCCCAAGCTCTACATCCTGCATCCTTTAACCTGAACCTCTCACCTCGCCAGCTTGCAAGCTCTAGCCCGTAAACTCTGAAATCTTCAAACCCCGAACCTGCGGATCCCCAAAACCTACCACCTACATCCGGGCAGCCCGAAAGCCACAATCCCCTGAAGCCTATCAGACAAACCCCTTGAGCCTCAAGTCTGGATCCCTCGAAAAGATTTGGAATGAGAGAGCGCAAAACCTGTCGAAAGTCCATTCTCAAAAAGCAAAAGCTCTAAGCCCTAAAAAGACCAAAACCGTAAAGCCCTAAAAGAGCGAAACAGCCACCACTTAGACTTCTTCTAACGGTCGGGCTTCAAAAAGTCGCGTTCCAAGCCAGGTCTTGGGTCCAAGCGGCAACTTCACAAGGGAGAAGCTGCTCCTTGACCTCGGTCGTTGGGTTTTGGCTCTTTCTTTTTATTCGGGTTTATCAGGGTGTACTGGAGTTTATTTGGGTAAGTTAAGGGTTTCGGGTTGTTGGGTGTGCTCTTTCCTTGAGAGGCGGGAGGGTCATGTTTCAAACGAGTGTTTTTTGGATGGTTGTGGTGTTTCGGGGTTGAGGTGTCTATTGAGAGTTTGCTTTTGATCTATGCCATGCTTCGGACAGAATAGGAGGTTTAGTTGTTGCTTGGGACGCTTGCCCTAAGAGTTGTTGTCTTCTGAATGTTATTGTGTGCTTGCAGGAGTTTTGGAGGCTCCGTGACAAAACTCTGCATCGTTGTTATCGGTACTGGTGCCAATGTTATGCCCATTGCTGCTGGATCGAGTTGCCGTTCGGAAGGAAGGCCAAGAGCAGCAACGAAGCGTCCGTCAACTCTGGCCTAGTCAAGTGGTTGATTTTTTGGATGAACGGTAGTACAGCAGTACAGCTTATCCACCCTAAACCCACCCTAAACCCCAGACCCTAAACCACAGTTGACTGTATTCTGGGGGTGCCGTTCTCCAAAGACTGGACTTTCAATCGGCTGTAAGGGTTTAGGGGCTTCGGGTTCAATACTTGTTTGGGTTATGAGGAGGTTTAGTCTTAATAAGTCAACCTCACGAAGCACCGAAGCCCACACCCGAAAGCGACGTCGCCACAAGGTCTGCAATGCCTTATCTGAAAGCTGTGATGAGAGATGCTTTGCCGCAGGATAGCTTCCTGTTGCAGGCGCCTCAACAATTGCCACGGCTAGACACTCACGTTCCATATGCAGGCCAGTCGGGTCAGCTCAGTCGAAGCGGTCCCGATTGAAGTTTGCTCTGAAGTGTCCGTTTCGTGTTTTGCCGAGGAATCTCATCGACTGACTCCGGTTGTCGAGAGCATCACCTTCCGCGGCTGGGACGCTTTACATTTGATGTCCGAAGAAAAATACTAGTTACTAGTACCCGCCCGTAGTCCCTACCACTGAGGCCCTGCATTATTTGCCCTCCCCAAGCGGCATGGCAAAGCTCTAAGAAAAAAGCAGCCTGGAAATGTGGGTTCATGTCTGTTGACGATGCACGGCTTGACTTCAATGTAGACCAATGAATGACGTGTTGTCCCGATCATTCGAGAATGCAGGGAGTTCAGGAAGGTTCCAGGTGCTGTTGCTGGAGATGGTGGGCTTAAGAACCGACCGAAAAGACGGCAATGAAAATTCCTGGTCGTGTGAGATGAAGTTGGTCCACTCTGCCCGGCAGCAGTACGGAAGAAGACCCCAGGACCCACATCGAAGTCCCGGCGAGTAAAGTCCTACTTGGAGGGTCGGGGGACTTAGTAAGTAGGTGGTAAGTAGACTTATAAGTACCCTAAGAGGGACCCTAATTGGGGTTATGGTACTTATAAGCCCCTAAAATAACCAGCTGAATGGGAGGTTTGCATTAATTAGGAGCCCTCGCAGAACCTCAGATCCGCAAGACGAGGCAATAGTTAAATAAATAGCTATATATATATATATATATATATACATGTATATATTATATAGTTGCGTCGGCACTCGTCGGAAAGCTGATAATTGTCCCCAATCCCTTTGCCAAGGCTACATCGACAGCGACTTGGATCTTTGCGGTTACAGCGTTCCTGCAGGTGCCGTGGCTTCGCACTACAGATCCCTTTTAAGGAGCCCTGTTAGGAACCTTAAACGCCTCCTTAGAAGGGATCTTTAAGAGTGCGGTGATCATCCAGTCTTTACTGAACCTTCAGCCGAAACACGACCCGAAACTCCTGCGCTCCCCTATCACAAAGGCTACATAGTTTGCCGGAGTCCGACTACCCGAAGCAATTCTAAACCGGTGGGATTGGGATAAGTAGTATAGCAGGAGTAGTTGTAGAAGTCGTAGTACTGCTGCTGCTCCTACTACTATGACTACTACTACTATGACTTTTACTCAACACCATCGTTTACCTGATCATCTTCATCATCATCATCATCATCCTCATAGTCATCATCCCTATCATCATCCTCTTAATCGTCGTCATCATCAACATAAGGCCGGTGATGCAGTTAACGATGATGTTGAAGATGGCGAGGATGATGTTTATGATGAAGATGGTCAGGTTAATGTTCATGTGATTGCCTTTGGCGGTCATGCCCAAAACACTGGTATTTATAGCATTTTTTTGCTTTTTGTACATGCTGCACAAGAATGTGGAGCAAGACACGTTGTTACAAGCATCCTACCACTGCTATTGCTACCGGCGCTACTGTGTTACTGCTTACGGTCAACCATGTCGTTATTAGCCCCCCTCCCCCCCCCCCCCCCCCCCCCCTTACTGCTTACAATCCCCCCCCCCCCCCCCCCCCCCCCCCAGTCCCCAGTAGCCGACTTCACGGGTACGGTAAACACGCCGCTGGCTACTACTACTACTACTACTACTACTACTACTACTACGGTTCTTCTGCTTCTTTTACTACTCCTACTACTCCTAGTCCTATTGCTCTTAAGCTACTGCTACAGTACGAGTACTAGCACGAGTACTAGTACTAATACTAGTACTAGTAAGTGGGACCACTGTAACTATTGCGCGTATTAGGGGACTTATGACCCCACTTAGAACTACTCATGAACCTCCAGGGTTGGAAGCTGGACAAATCAAAAGCTTTAATCTCAAAGTCTGAAGGCACCCGCATTGACATGGGCAGCGCCATTATACAACGGGACCCGCAGATAGTCGACGATCCCTGGGTGGCCCTGGCTGCAGACGGGCTTAAGGCTTAGGAGGGTGTGTAGGACTTTCGGAAGCCTTAAAGTGTGAACCTTACACCATAAAGTTGGAACGCCAAACCTTGAACCCTAAACCCCTGACTCCCTGCTGGTGTCAATTCTCTTCGGTGCAAGTTTGCGAGAGACACAGACCGCCCACATGTTCGACGATGTTGTTCAGAGAATTGGGCTTGCAGGGTGCAGTAAGCCGACAAGCCAAACCACAAAGCCCTCAAATCTCCAAACTACAATCCATAAACCCTAAACCCTAACCAACTGTTGCAGACCTTTCCAGGCTTGTCCGAGAGTGAGTGTCAACAAATCCTAAACCGTGAGGGTTTAGGGTGTAGGGCTCTACAAATTAAAAACCATAAACACTCAATCGGAGCCCTCGATCCCACGGCAAACAAGTCCCCTACTTGGAGGCTCTTTAGGGGACTTAGCAGGTAGGTAGTAAGTAGACTTATAAGTACCCCAAAAGGGACGGGGCTAGGATACTTATAAGTCCCTACCATAGCCAGTTGCTAAGTCCCCCGACCCTCCAAGTAACCCTCAACCCGAAGTCTAGACCACTCACCCACAAGCTCAAGTCCCAAAGCCCTAAAACCGAAACCCTAAACCCCTCCAGCCCCAACCCCCTAAACCCTAAAATAGCACCCTTATGGCAGCTTCTTACAAGAACTTAATACTTATACTAAACCCCCAAACACCACTTAAACCCCAAAACAGTACCATTGTAGCAGTCCCCATAGGAAACATTATACTAAAAACCCTAAACCCTGAGGTAAAAGCCAGAAAGTTGGAATCTGATTATCCTAACCCTTCTATGGTAAATTATAGCGTATCCTACCATGAAACCATATTCCAACTTTCTGGAGTTCCCTGTAACCCCTAGACGCTACACCGGAAGGCCTTCCGGCCTGAACGCTTCATGGCAGAGGCTTCTGTGCCTGGTTTTCGCGGGGGTTTTGTGCTTTTGTGTTTAGAGCTTTTGGGGTTTCGGGTATTTAGGGCTTAGGGTTTCGCGGGTTTTGGGCTTAGGGTTTTTCGGGTTTTGGGCTTAAGGGTTTTTGGGTTTTGGGCTTAAGGGTTTTGGGGGGTTTGTGGCTGAAGGGTTTTAAAAAATTGAGGGCTTTAGGGTCTGCGTTCCCAAAAGGGATTTGCAGTCTGGGATGTGAATCTGGAGTGCAGGATTTCTGGGTTTTGCGTTTGGGAGAATCCGGGCTCAGGGTTTCGGAGTTCGGGGCAGGGGACGGCCCTCAGTCTGGATCTGATGTAACATAGGGGCTTAGATAATTAGAACAGGGTTCCTAAACGGGGTCTATAAGGGCTGCTGTAAGGGGGTAGTATAAGGGCTTAAATAATTACCATACAGGGGCCTTATAATAATTACCATATGCTATTTTGGGGGGCTCCTTGTGAAAGAGAGAGTATCATATGCACCAAAACCCTATTCGAATTATTAAGGCCCCTTTATTAATGGTATGTAGAGCCTTGTTAAGCCTGTAAGCCTGTCCTTGTTCCCGGAACTGTTCCAAACCCCAAAGCTTAACTTTGTTTTAAGCCAGAGTCTTGCACTAACAGCCTGTGCTAAGGCAAGCATACTGCAGCATAGGCTCGTCCCTGCAGTTGCATCAAAACCCTAAACTGCCCAGACCTTCCAAAATCCCTTAATTAAGGAATATACCTTAAATCATATTAGGGATCCTACTATAATTTAAGGTATTTTCCTTAACTAAGGGGTTTTGGAAGGTCTGGGTGAGCCTTAACTTTAATCCGAAGCCCAGTTTAACCGCCCCAACCCGTCAGAACTACTGAAGATCCTCCCAAAGCCCCTTCTTACAGCACTTGCAACGCAATGTCACAACCCTTAACGAACTCCTCATGAAGGCTAACAAAACCGCCCTAAACCGTTTGAGAATCCCTTGAACCCCAAGACCCTGAAACCCTAAAATCCTGAATCCCTAAAATCCTAAACGCTCAAACCAAAACCCTAAAACTCTAAACCCTAAAAGCTGCCTTGTGGAGGTGCCAGCGTCGAAACCCTAAAAGCCCTAGACCCTAAAACACTAAACCCCAAAAGACCTAAACCCTACGACCCGAAACCCTGAAAACCATAAAACCTAAACCTCGAAACCCTTACGCCTCGAAAAAAAAGAAGCAAAAACAACACCGGGTCTGATCTCTAACCAGCCGTAGGCCGTGGCAGCGCGCAAGAGCGATCCGTTGAAATCCCTGCTGGACCATAAGTTGCCACTGGCACTCAAGCGGCGGCTTCTTTGTTTCTTTGGGGTTTCAGGGTTTAGGATTTAATTAGGGCTTAGGGTTTTACGGTTTTGGGTTTAGGTTTCTTTGGGGATCTCCTGGATTTCTACCAGGGTTCTATAAAAGTTTCATGCGGTTCTATGATTTCCAGAGTCTATAGAGGTGTTATAATGGTTCCACGGCTGTATGGTCTAGGGCTTTATAGTTCCTACAGAGGGTGTTGGAATATTTTTCGGTTTAGGGTTTCATGGGTTCTTATATTGAAGGGCTTTATATACAGGTTCTGTAAAGGGGTTAGTTGCAAATTCGATAAGGTTAGGGCTTTTCGGGTATCAACTGTCCTGCAGAAGTTGAATTAGGTTTAGGTTTGGAGCCGTTTGTGGGGTGGGGTGTTTGGGGTTCAGGGCCGTTCGGAGTTTCGTTGGATTCTGGTGCGAGGGATTCCAAGTTCCTAGAGCTCCCAGGATATGTATTCGGGGTCCATACTTAAAGGATCATAGGACCTAGTAGCTATGGCGTCTCAACAACCGTAGCCATACGGATAAAGACTTCGGATAAAGACTATAGCCGTAGTTAAGACACTTACTTCCTAAGTCCCTCAAACCTTGAAGCTTTGCAGAGCCCTGATAGTACCGTTATAGAAACCCCATAGAGCCTGATAGCCTTACTGGCTAGGCCCCATGATCCTGGTCCTCCATAAAGGGCTTCTATACGTTCAGGACCTCGGCGGGACCTCGGTCATAGCATAGCACAGCATAATAGGGTTTAGCGGTTGCATTACTGGCAGTTTCGGTTTTACGGAGGAGATTGTGAATTTCGACAAAGCACCGCGAAGCGTTGCATTCGTTTTCATTGCCAGCATACTTGCATCTATGGGTGCACGTACTCATCATCTATGCATGCATACAGTACTTACATGCATACACGTGCAACGCGGATGTTTGCACAGGTGCGTAAAACATGCATACACATATGCCGCGATGGTGTTCATCAAGCTGTTGATTTGTTTATTTGTGTCTCAACAAGGATCGAGAAGCCCTTCTCCTTCGGAGCCCGCATGTGCCTTGGTGCACGGCTTGCGGAATTGGAGATGATGATCCTCATGTCCCAGACGCTTGGCTGAAACATTTTCTGAAGGGTCCGTTATTCAGAACGTTGTTGAGTAGATGCATCGGAATTGATGCATGCTGCAACCCACTTGTTCTGCCTGGTTTAAACTTACAACCCCACTGTAGCTCCACGTGATTTCGCAGAAAGTGTGTGGATGAGGGGCTAATAAACGTTCGCCACCAGCTCGCCATCACTCCTGTTACTGTCCGTCTCCAGTTTGTTTCTGCTGAACATGATGTCGTTGCTGATGATCATGCTGCTGATGATGATATGATGATGCTGCTGGTGATGATGATTGACCATTACGTCATCATTGCCACTCGAATCTTTGTGGCTCATTTTTTCCTCTACCGAAGAATTCTTTAGGATGGGACGACTTATCACCGGAACGGGGGCGACTATGGAATGAGCGACGCCTTGACATAGTGACGTGGATCTGGCTGAAAGAACAGCCTTTACCCTGATAGTGATATGCACGATCGGAGAGTTAACTAGTTTTACAATAAACTGCAGACCGTATGTAGGCTCAAAGCAGTCAGACTATCCCAGGTTAATTGCAAAGTTCCGATTCGAAGCGGAGCCGGGATATATCCCGCGATGGCACGTGGCTTGACTGCATGATATTTGCATCAAGTTGGGTCGCGTCTTAAAGACTGAGCCACATCGTGTCGTCGTGTTCTCCAGAGAAAATACATAGATAGATACCATGAAGTAGAGATCGCAGACAAGGCAGATATGTCCCGCCTTAGGACTTGCTGCATGAGAGTTGGGCTCAAGGTTCAACTAGCCTATTCAAGCTGCAAGCTCTGATGTGACGCCAGTAAAGCCCTGAAGCTTTAACCGCAAGCACTGCATCCTAAACCCAATTTCTCCTGGTTAGTTCCTAGGTATATGGAGTCAAACTTAGCATAGCCAAGCATACATGTTGTTTAAGACATGTTGCCTTGCATACGCCATTTATTCAAGCAGCTTGATTAATTGGCATCAGCATTAACTTTCTTGACAAGAACCCTTAACACCCCTTTCGAAACTTGGAGAGCCTTCGAGATCCCTTGTACGATGCGAGGCCGAACCATGGTGTAAAAGGGGCGCCTCCCCTAGGGGGCATGGCAAATAGAGTTTGCCAGCAGAAGTTGATGATTGGATAGCAAGGGCGGCCAAGCTTTAGCAACCGCCGGCATGCCTTAGTAAAGCGAGCCGAGCAAGCCTTAGCAGTTTCATTTGTTGGTGGAGCTTGCATAGCCCTGCGAAGGCCTAGTAAGGACGACAGAGCACACCGAGGCAATACTAGCACGGCACAGTTTAGCAGCACTCTTCAAAGCTTGTACTGGTGAGAGCTGGTACGCGCTCTAGTAGGGACTGGTGAGGCCATGTGAATTGACAGCGGCCCAACCAGAGTTCAAGCCAGCTGTCTTCAAAAACCCTTCCTTGCAAGTTCCATCTGCCATCCCCCTGATTCTAATTATTACCAAAAGCCACACTATATTGCAACCCTCAAGCCTAATCACCACACCCTAAAGGACCCCTTAGCGGGTTCGCTCCAAATCATAATTCAGCGAACCGTCGTCCGTCCCGGGACCGCAATAGCACACCCGCCCCCACATCAAGGCTTAAAGCTCACCGTGTGCCCAGTGACGCTAATTTAGGGTTAGGGTTTCCTAAACTCTAAAGAGCCAGTTGAACGCAAGCCCCGAACCTGACCCGAAGCCAAAGGACCCGGAGAAGCTCTAAATTTACTTACCAGAGCTGATACCAGGTGGGCCCCGATCCTACCAAGCTTCCTAACCGCCAACGCCTATCTTAGAGCAAGAGATATTTGGTATTTTAGGGCTATTTCAAAAGGTGCACACACGTTACTCCAGGCCTGTGGTTTCAAGGATTATGAAGCGTTTGGGTTTAGAGTTTAGAGCTTGTTTGTGGATCCTAGGAGAGGCTACAAGTATAATGTAGGAGCACTAATGGATACCAATAAGGTTTTGGTGGTTTTTTTATTATAAGTCCAGAAAAACACACCCCCAAGCCCTATTCTAGTTATTCTGGCCCCTTTGTTACCCAAAAGGTCATCGCTCCACATTCTCCTCAAAGCCCGAGACAACAAGCCGAAGCCACTGAACCTTCATGACCTTTCAAAACCCCGGGGCTTTTGTAGAACCCTTTATAAGGATCCCTTCTGGCTTAGAGTTTATGGAAGGAAGCCTTGAACTTCAAAGCGCAACCCTACACCCCAAGATCAGCCGAAGTTTCCTAAGCCCACTATGAGGGTCGGTGGACTTAGTAAGTAGGTAGTAAGTAGATAGACATATAAGTACCCTAAAAGGGACCCTCATTGGGATTATGGTACTTATCAGTCCCAAAAATAGACAGTTACTAAGTCCCCCCGACCCTCAAGCAGAAAAGGACACATTCCTCGTGCCAGAGAAGATGCCCGAGGCGCCAGGTTTTGTGTGTGTTCCTCTCCGTGAGGGCCCGAAGCCTTAGAAGCCTTACCGCGAAGAACCACCTTCGTCACGAGTCTATGTAGCTTGTATTGGTTTCCTTAGCTGTACCCTAAGACTCCAAATGGCCCAAAGTAGGTAGCATTTATAGACTTTAGACCCCAAAGTAGGTACTATTTGTATACTTGGAGTCTTAGGGTTATATCTTTAAAAGCTTAAAGAGGTAGGCTTTGGGGGGGCAGGCTCTTGACCTAAAAGAGCCTGGAAAACTTGAAGCCACCTTTCGACGATTTTCTAAGATCCTGATATAGTTTGCTAGGAACAGTAACTACATTGGAGACAACGGGAGTTCATACTCTACACCCTTGCGCAGGAGACCCTTTAAAGGATGATAGCTAGATGCGAATATGGATGCAGAGAACTACCCCGCTCGGAAAGAGTCCTCATCGTTTCCACCCGAATTGTAGCCCTAGTTCTTAGGTGCCCTGACCTTTCGAGCACACCCTGCCAGAGGTCCAGATCACGCGCATCTGAATGCTCTCGGCGCTAGTCGTGCTTTTCCACAGTTGGATACCCGCAAACGGGGATTCTCGGAGGAGTTTGGCAGCAACCTCCCTCTCTAACTGTTGTGTTGTACGATAAGACAAGACTTGCGCATTTTTTTGTAGAGCAGTGACGACTGAGATACCTGCAAGTAAGACCTCGTATATGCGCACGTACGCATGCATGCATGTATGTAAGAATGCATGTATGCACAGGCAGATGGATGAGTTGGTTGAGTGATAAACAGGTCGAGAGATAACTAGATGTATAATATATATATATATATATATATATATATATATATACATAGACAGATGCAAAGATAGATAATTGAATAGACGGATAGGTAAATACATAGATAGAATGGTAGATCGATCGCTAGATAGATAGATAGATAGACAGATGGTTCGACCAGTTTGATGGACGGAAAGTAGTAACCTAGGTAGTTTGAACAGACACATTGCATTAGAGAGATTAAATTATGGCTGTTTTTTCGATCCGCAAAGATGTGGTGAAAACCCCCGGTAGCACAGTCGCCGGCTGCGATGTTAATGCTTGGGGCTGCTTGGTGGTTTCGCGTTGTCTCGCTTGTTTATAACATAGGAGCCTAATGGAGCAGAAACAGCAGCCCCTCACGGTCCCTGTATGTTGATAGTACAGTAGAACCTTCTTCAAACATGGGTAGCGAGGTTGAGGACTGAGGAGGCAAATAGTCTAATTAGGGTCTCAGGATTTGTGTTTCGAGCCTTTGTACGGATGGAGGCTTCGAAACTTCCGTTTGTTTGGCCTATATAGTCGAACACAGTGATCAGACAGTGATCCTACACGCTTCTTGTGTCGTCACTTCTACAGATTCTACAGGCACTGCAGTCGTTGTTGCTGCTGTTGTTGCTTACTACGGCACTTATTTGTAAACCGGTTCACCGATTAGCTCTCAGGCCGACATCATCGTCAGTCTTCTTACCACTCTCGCGGAGGTTTAGCATTCTATTTCCTAAACCCTAAGCCCTTAACCCTACGCCAGGATTGCTCTGAAGCTGCTGGTCGCGTAGTCAGGTACTTTTGTTCCCATGGCAAAAAGAGCTCTGTCTGCTTTTAATTCATATAGGGGCCTGAGTAGTTGCCGATACTATGCTCTAGGTTTCTTTAGCATAACATATACGGCATATACGCGACAAGGAGTTAGGATTAGGGGGACCTTTGCGGATACAGACAGTCTCCAAAAGGTCCGTTTTACGAGAGCCAGAAGTAGGGTTTAGAAGGGCCCCTTTAAGGGGTCTCACTAAGACTACCCTAAACCCTAAACCCTATTATAATACTTAGTACCTAGGAGCGAAAACCGATTCAGGCCCTTATATCACGCCGGCCCAATGCTCGGATTGAGTTGGCCGTGCGTCGATCAAAGAAGCCATGAGGACTCTTCGGCCATAGGCCGTAGGGCTCCACAAGCAGTCGTTGCAGATGCTGAGCAGCCGAAAGAAAAGGCGCTTTTCGAGTTATATGTGTTTTTGCATTTGTTTCTTCGATTAGTTAGGTATATACATATTTAGGTATATACATATATAGGTGATGTTGTCAAGTCTAGTTTAGTCTACGTAGTCTATCCTAGTCTATGCGGTTTTGATAAAACCAGAACTTCAGACTGGTCCCGCATTCAAGATTTCCGATAAACATAAAAAAATAAATAAATAAATATATATATATATATACATATACAGTATGGTACGCCCTGGCGGCGTGTATTTTCGTGTGTTCATGTTTTCACCTGCGTTCGCAGATGGCAAGCTTAGCAAGCTTTTCACTTCCAACCACATTGTTTTAGATGCATACAAATACGACGTGTTGTGAATTGTTACTTTGAGTTTCCACGAAACCATTGACTTGACCGAATACTTGTCCGAGAGATAAAGTACAGGACAATCGCTCAAAAGAGATCCCGAAGGTGGAGGGCATAAGGGCACGGCCTTAAGGTGTGGCTGTGGGCATGGAGGCCTGGAGGCCTCTCGGAGGGGGGGGGGGGGCGCAAAAAAAAAAAAAAAAAAAAATGGTGGGCTGCTCTCTGGTAATTTTTTGTTTTTGCGCCCCCCCCCCCCCCGCAGGCAGGACCTTATGGACGGAGATCCGGAGGTAAGCAGGGTATGTCTGGGGCCTTCGGCCTTTGGCATTCCAGTTCCCGCACTACGCGATCATCTCAAGCTTTCCAGTGTGCCACCAATCCTATCCTATCAAATGAAACATCCCTCCATGAACAAGATTACGCGTGATATTCTTGTCCACCACTGGGAAAGCGGCTCCCACACCTGAAAACGGTGACATTACTTACGGATGACACTTATACATGACAAAAGTATGATGGGCACTACATTCTACACGTTAAAAAGTACGATGGGAATGACGTCCTTGTACCGCGACTCATGGTGACCTGGTCTCGACACCCTCAATTATGATGGTCCAAACCGTCTAAGAAGATGACGGGTGGCGAACCCACAACCCTACACTGAGAGTCATGATTGGCTTCCAACATTCCCAAACATCGTACAAAATGTTGGGCCCCCATCCGCAAGCTCGGACAATGAAAGATAAGTTGCAAGCCACAACATACTTGTGACATTTGGGGTGGAACATAGATGCTTACCTACAAGCCAACCTTGGTAGACAGATGTTAGTTTATACCTACATATATATATATATATGTATATGTGTATATACATGTTGATATATGTGTATAGGTTTGGTATATACATGCAGACATACATACACACCTACATATGGATGTGTATGTGTACATACCCACATGCTCATGCCTTTCCAAAGCTTATAAACACATACATATATGTATACTATATACACATACATGGGTACATACATATATATATATATATGTATCACGGAAACATGTGTATTGTTTCCGGAATATACATGCAAACATATGTATATGCAACGGGTAGGCATTTAGGCAGCTACAGGCTCAAACAAGAAAATGGACGGCCTCAGGCTCCTATCCCAAATCCCGCAGCGGCATGGTGGGTGAAGGATGGCGAATATCAAGTCTGTGCGTAAGCACGGCCTCCATACCTGTACATATATACAGCTACATACACAAATATACGTTTAGACAGAAACACACGATGCACTGTGGAAGCTCATGCATACCTATACCATACGTATGCAAGTTCGTGCACTTTGGAAGCCCATGCATACATACACACAGATATGTGTGTATAAATACATGTCTTTATATATATATATATATGTCGAGGAATTTTATGTGATGTACATGCGAGTACCTGTCTATGTAACCGGGGAGACTAATGCAGTTACACTTTCAATCTAAACTGGAGCCTTGGAAGGGTATCATGGGCGGATGAGTTTAAATATATACATACATACATACATACACACACGACTTTCCGTGCATCACGGAGATAGGTAATTTAATCGTAATTGGGTGAATGATCGCGAACAAGAGGTCTCAAATAGAACGACTGAAAAACATGCCCAATTACACCGAAAGCCAATCCCTAAAAGGTGTGGCTCCCTGCCAGAACTGCAAATCACAATAGGGACACCGGAAAAAAGAAGGCCAGAGTCTGAAAATTTTGGCACATATCACGGGCGACATTTATCCAATAAAGATATATGGTGACTAGCAAACCCAAGTACCCAAAAGGATGATGTGTGTCCAGAGCATCCAAATTCTACTGGAAGATATTTGCCGAAACCGAGGCCAGACAAGGATGTGATGGGCCAATGCCCCTGAGGAGTTCGACGAGTGGCGGAACCACAACTGGATCCTCAAATCGGTCACTGTTTTCCCAAATACACGCAGCTTAGGAGATGTTGCACTTTCAATCAAATGCTTCAGTGAACTGAAGAAATGACGGGTGGCAAACCCAAAAACTCTTTCAAAGGTGGAAAGCCCCTTAAAGCTTGACACCTGTCGGAATATAGATATCCCGTTTCCCACGACTTCAGATGCGGTATGCTGCAGCCTATGCCACAATTTCATTCCCCAGTGCAAGACATGATATATACAAGAAGTTGCAAGTCAACATTAGTATGCACATACAAATATGGGCCTGTAATGGGTCCTACTCTCTTTAGATATATGTATGTATCGTATGATTTTACATGCTCGTACAGAGTTAGAATCAGAAAATGTGGATGTATAGTTGCATCCATGCAGGAGCACACATGTACTCCTATGCGACATGTCAGTCTGCATATACACATTGACATATTGACATAATTACATACCTATATTCATACACACATATGTATGGGCTAGGTCTGCATGTAGATAATATCCGCAACGAATGTTCTTATAACCGTTTATCCTGATCTTGATATGCGGCGTGTTAGGGGCGAATGGTAGAGATGAAGAATTGCGTGCATGTCCTTTTCGGTCCTGAGTTTAGTGGAGCTAGACAGCTTTCGCAGCAGTAAAACCATCTATTAAAACTCGAGAAAAAGCACGGGATTCCTCGAAAATGCACGCCGCCACGGCGTACCAGTCTCCAGTTATATGGATATATATATATATATATATATATATATATATCTTTACATATATATATGTATATACACACCCTTATAAGTGAGGGTCTCTTTAGGGCTGTGCCGTAAGACGGGTCCGACCGTCGGTGGTTTGCTTTGCGCTAGGGCTTAGGGTTGAGGGTTTTAGACTTTGGGGGGGTTAGGATGTAGATGTTCGGGGCTTATGGTTTGAGGGTTTACAGGGTCATACCTTATACCTAGTCAGAAAATTGTACACACGTGAATGCCAGAAGCAGCAGCAGCAGCAACAGAAGCGATGCAAGATTGGCAAGAATACTGCGGCGACAAGTATTGCTAACAGCAGGAACGACATCAGCAGTCAGACACTAGATATAGCCGCCGCCCTGATCAATGAGGTTTCTCGTCACCTTGGAAGAACAGCAGTGCCCAGTGCAGAATCAAAAAAGAAAGGCTAAAGACACCCAGGTTAGAATGTTGCGTGAGCTTCATTCTGACGGCAGGTGTCTTGTTTCGACACGGTGCAGTGTTTATGTCGTAGTCGAGCATGAACCACTATAAAACTGCCATGCATGACCTGTAAATATGTCGAAGCAGGAATCTAACCAGCAGTGCCGGTAGGGGCAACACGAATGTAAGGTTTCATACGTCTGTAAGTGTGTACAATAATAGATAATGGAAAGATGAAAAAATCTATATATATATATATATATGTATATATGTATGTATGTATGCACGTATGTATGTATCTATGTACGTACGCTCGTGGGTCTGTCTGCCTGTCTGTCTGTATGTATGCATGAAGGCGTGTATGGATGTATGTGTGTGGCATGCGCGGTTGCATGCATGCATGATCATGCATGCATTTGCCATAAGAAGGTGCATATGCATGTATATGTGCTGGTCTCTGTGTTTGTGCCTGTGTACGTGTCTTTGCACATGTAAGTAGACAGGCTGATAAAGTTGAAAGAGAGAAAGACAGAGAGAGAGAGAGAGAGAGAGAGACATTGATTTGGCATTTTGGCCAGGGCCTTTCGGCCTTCATACCCTTAGCAATCAAGCAAGCAGGCAAGCCAAAGAGCGAGGAAGACCCGAAGAGTCGCACGCACACGAACCCACTCAAGCACTAACACAGAACCACACACATGCACACAGGCAAGCAGATGCACGAGCACCAGCACCAGCACGGACACCAACACAAGTACATACACACGCACACAAAACAACAATGCACAAAGACATGCGGAACACAAGAACATAATCACACACACACACACACACGCACCGAGACAGAGACAAGGCGACAAGGTTTACTTGACTCCTGGTCTGGCTCAAGTCGGTGGTTCAAAGATAGCAACCGCCACGTAGGAGGTGCGGTAAGTGCCTGTACTACATGGAGGTTATGGTTACTGGGTCATAAGCAGGGTAACTCTATACTGTCATGTTAGGGGACGCATAACCCCACTTCAACAAGCCGTGAACCTCCAAGCAGCCGTCCATAGACTTGACACCTTTGGCCATCAATCGGTCCAAACTTGCACTCGCCAATTCCAGTTATTAATAAGGCCTATGGACGCTACGGGGGGCAATGGTTTTGTGTACTCGTTCTTCTCCAAGTCTAGAGAGTCTTGGTAAGTAACAGGAGAAGTTATCGCCCTACCAGACACTACGTTGCCATCACCGCACTTCTCCCATTAGCTGCAATGCCGCAGCTCGTTTCACCCTGCCGGTAGTGCGCAGGGATTAAAGATGCGACGCCGGCGGTTGTTCTCACATCAGGCCTGAGTGCATTTTCCTCAAGTTCCGGGCTCGCTTTGCACGATTGAGCGTTAGCTTTGTTCTGACATTGATCAAGCCTTGTCGCGCGGAGCTCTTCTCGTTTATAGTGAACCCCGGAAAGTTGGAACATGGGTTTAGGATGATTCATGCTGGGATTCCCTATACTTTACTTTATTTAAGGGCCTGAGGCTAATGATGTTGTAACTTTCTGGCTTCTACTGTAATTATCGTCGAGCACTACCACGGGCTCAGGTTGTCAAGATCCTGGTGAGCCACAAACCTACGGATTATGGATATAACTTCACCTCATTCTCGGAAATTTGCCGGGGGGACACGTGCTTCAATGCTAAGCCCTGAAAAGGACTCCCCAAGCCAAGCTTGCAGAACAGAGTTTGTGGGTGTAGTATTAGTCTACTATATAGTTTGCATAAAGAGAACCCTGTATACGGGCGAAAGTACTCTAAATGGTGAGGCTTCCACACATTTATGGGGCTGCGGTGGGAGCACGAATAACGTCGGAGCCGTGGAACCCCTCCGCCTGCAACGGGACTGCCGTGGACGGAAGCCGCTGGTGGTCCGAAATGCACACCATGCCAGAAACAGAATAATATAGGGGCCTTAATAAGTACCGATACTATTTTGGGGGCTCCTTATTGTAAGTATAGTATAATACACCCTCAAAGCCCTATTCTAACTATTAAGGCCCCTATATTGCCCTCAGTGCTTCCAGGGCAAGAACTCTCGTCCGTCTTGAGATGCATTAAAGGTTTGCAATTTTCGTTTTGAGCAAGAGAGGCACACAGACAAGCAGCGAGAAAGCAAACAAGAACTCTAAGCCGTAAAGGCATTGGCGCTGATTACGCTGCAGGGCAGAATTTCGAAGTCCAACCCCCTAGCCCCCACAACCATTGCAGATTCGGGAGGGGAAAATTGCAGATTCGGGAGGTTGGCTGGCCGAAGAAGAGTATCTCTGGCTAAGGGTGACGTTTAGTAATGACGCATTGCATATTGCCACTGTATCTTTTTTTGGAGCTCAGCATCATCACTATTATGAACTGTGGTCAACCAGAGCAGTTTTAGAAAGCTCCGATTCAGAAACAAAGTCCACCGCAGACCTGCCAAAATGTTGGAAGCTGTATGAGTGCCCCCCGCAAAAAGCCCGAATAAACCCTAAACTGCACACTTCTGTCAGTTCATGCTTTTCCGATGTTCAAAGGCCATGATGTGGATCCTCGTTTCCATGGCCCTCGCTGCAAGTCTGGGACCCAGGGAGATCTGGAGGGTGTCTTAGCATTGAGGCTGCTGTTTTAGGGCGTAGGGGTTCACGGGTTAATGGCCTGATGCAAAATGGGTTTAGGTTAGAAGCTGCCCCCACCCCGTAATGGTGACTATAAGGATTATATTAGGGCCCTTTTATCTTCCTATTATACCACTATCACAGGGTGGGGGCCCCTTCTAAGGTTTAGGGCTTCAGGGCCTGATGCTAAAAGGGTTTAGGGGTTAGGGTTTGGGGGGGGAGCAACACCTCCGCCGGCCTGGCTGCCAAACGGTTTCGGGGGGGGGGGGGGGGGGGGTGTATGAGCGGCCTGATTTGTGCTTATCCGGGTAGTTGTCCTTAATTATGGTCCCTTTTTGGGTCCTTAATATCATACGGCACCTAATATATTTGGGGTGCCCAAAAAGGGCCCATATTTTTTTGACAACTACCCATCTGCTTGAGATCCTTTTAGGATACTTATAAGTCTACTTACTACCTACTTACTGAGTCCCCCGACCCTCCAAGTAGAGGTCGATGCTGAAGGTCTCATGCCTTTTGGCATTAGGGTATCTGGATTGAAAAGTTTGAAAAGTTTAGGGCCTAGTTTAGGTAAAGTTTAGGGTGTGAGGTGGTGACTGGACTGAGTTTCTAGGATGGTCGTGTCTAGCTAATCCTGGCTGCTGCCTTGTTTGCGGTGCTTTGGGCTCCGTTCGGCATGAGGCTCCGTTGGAAAATCTGAAACTTTCGCCACGGCTTTCGTGGTTGCAGGTGCCAGCGCGAGGCCTTTTAGTTTGAAAGAACGTTTACATGTAGTTCTGGGTAACTGTGATCAGCTCGTAGGAACACTATCTATGTCTCTTGAGATTCGTTGATATCACGACCACAAGTGTTACTAGCTGCAGCAAGTATCTTCATCACCATATGAGTATATGTGTTGTTGCCGCTGCAGCGCTTTGCGCTGGTAGTGGTTGCGATGATGAAGAGGGTTGCTTGTTGGTGTTGCCCTCTTTCTGTTCCTCATTTCCGAACGAATAACATTCATTCTCGCATCGGCTGTCTGCGGTATTATAGGCACGACGATCATGACTGTTCGAGCTTTGATGCACTTCTACTCGGAGTACGACTGTTCGCAGCCGGTTGGTGTTGCAAATGGTGGCATGTCATTGATAATGTCATGGGGACCCTTAGGGCGGTTGGGGGGAGGGGGGTAGGGCACCATACTTCCTTAAATAGGCCGTAAAAAATACCTTGTTATAGGCATTACGGCACCCTACCCCCGTCCCCCTACCCCGCTAAGGGTCCTTATGATAATGTTGTAGATAATGCACACCCTGAGGAGTAGCAGCTGCGCAAGAACTTGCTGTAGTTCGCACCTTCGCAAGCGAGCAGGAGGTTCATTGTGTCGCTGTGAAGTTCGGGTTTTGGGCATAGGGTGGAGGGTGAGGGGAAGGTCGATTTTTCTTTAAAGAGTTTAATGGGGATCCCTTGGGGATCCCTAATTGCAAGGAAAGGGGGTTTCGCTATCAGGCTACAATGCAGGGTCTTCGGACAGCCGGAAGCCGAGCTAGAAGAAGCTAGATTCAGCTAGGTGTTGCCAGATGTTTCATTCACTCAAGAACTAAGCTCTTAGAAATTCGGAGGCTTCAGAATCCGCAGGTAGCCTATTCTCAGAGCTCGTTGAAGCGTACAGACGTGCCCGAGCAGATTCGACAAGTTTTAGCATATCCTTGTTTATAACTTGTTTATCTTCTTCTCTGTCTGGTTCTTAGTAGGGAATGGGGGAATGGATTACGGAGACGACTATTGGGGATTATATGGGGACTACTATAGGGATCCATTCCCCCACTCCCTACTGAGCACCAGACAGTTCTAGCGTGATCTGGTGCATTTTGCGTTGCTTTGTCCAGAGTCCGGGGTTGAAGGTCAGGGTCTGAGATTGAGGTCACGGTAAACCCACTAAATCCCACTACTATAGGGGCCTTAATAATGGCCCATACTGTTTTGGGGGTTCCTTATTGTAATTATAGCATAATGGGCCCCAAAACCTTATTCTAACGACTAAGGCCCCCGCATGAGTTTGGGGCTCTCGTGTTTCTGGGTGTGCTTGTTCGTTCATTGTTCGTTCTTCCCAAGCTTCGCTGACCCCTAAAGTCTTCCTTACTCGACACATGCGTGTCTTCACCTACGAAACTAGACTTAGGTCGATTACCTACAATACAAAGCCCACAAGCCCTAAACTCTAAACCCTAAGCCATCATTGTGTCCAGCGCCCGAGTCTCACCACCCCACATCCTGAGACTTTGCAACATCCCGTAGATCGTCCGAGCGTTCGGGATCTGATCCTGGTTCCGGGTTTGCAACTATACTTAGGGGTACTTAGAAATAATTTTCAGTTTTTGGTTATCATAATCCCTGAGAAACATCTGAAATTAGATTTTGTTGCTAGGTTTCTAAGTTCAGTATAGTATACATGTTAGTACAGTGTTGAAACTTTGAGTGCTCAGAGCCATTTCGAAGACATCAGGTCTGATGGATAGGTAGGCAGATGGATAGGCGGACAGAGAGGTTGTGAAGGAGCTAGCAGGAGGGAAAACTGCTGTAAGGTATTAGGTATACATACATCACTTAACCCGTAATCCCTCAACCCTAAACCGTATATGTCATGAGCCTCAGTGCTAGGGGCATGACTCTCAAATAGGGGAAGACAGGTTCGTCTCATGTTTGTTTTGTGCTGAGAGAGCTTTTCTGCGGGTTCGAAGTTATTTAAACTGCGGCGGAGGATCCTCTCGATAGCAAGAGTCTGAAACATACAAGCCCTAGCACCAAAACGCTAAACCCTAAACCCGCTTTGTCCGAGAGTGAGTGGCACTTGAAGCCTTACCGCCCTCAGTGTTGTCGGTTCCGATGTTTTATAGGCCCCCATCAAGGGTTCCTATCTCGTTTGCTATAATAAGTATCCCGTATTCGAGCCGTTGTTACGGTTGGGAGTTTGGGATGAAGCTCGCAACGGCTCAGGGCTTGTTGTTGGGTCCCTAAGCCCTGAAGTACCGTAAACCATAAACCCAAACGGATTGAGTCCTGCAAGCCGCCGCGCTCAAAGCCTGTCCCTCGAACCAAAGCCTGAAGGCTCAAAGGCATTACCGGGATATATTTCCGAAAATAGGGGGCACCCTAACATAGTACCCTAAATAGTAGGATCCTTGTTATAAGGACCCCCAAATAAGGTACCCCCAATTTTTTGAAACTCCCATGAATAGCCGACGCTGCATATATCCCCAAGCCCTAAATGCCGGAAGCGCTAAAGCCCAAAAGCCTTGAATGCTAACACCTCAAGTTCTGAAAATTAGGGGTACCCTTATTTTGGGGTCCTTATAATAGGGATCCTACCATGTAGGGTACTATATTAGAGTCCCCCATTTTCGCAAAGCCCCCAACCTCCGACGCCCACCAGCCAGGTTACCGGACTCACGGCCTCCTTTGAGCACCTCGGATTCCTTGGGCTCTTGACCAGAGGTTCCGGTGGGCAATCCCTAAGTCCTAAACCCCAATCCGAATCAGGCGCAGGTTGATGATGATGGGTCTGGGGCTTTGGGAATTTGGGAGGAGGCTGTGAGTGTGCGTATGTGCGCATGTACATTTGCATGGGTGTTTTGGGGTGTGTTGGTCTCGGGGCGGGAGCTACGGCAGTTGGCGAACCACACTATTACTAGACTACAAGACTTCGGCGAATGACCTTGGAGACTAGGTGTGGCAGAAGCTTTAATTACTCTGCAGATCTCGAACCCTGAAACCTTAATCCATCTCACAACATCATGCAACGGATGTCTGCATGATTTCTAGAAGCCAAGTCCACAAGCCTACAGTACCTGCGAAACACCGCAGTAATTAATCCATCAGAACCCGAAAGCACCGTAGAGGGTTTGAGGAGCAGGCGTAAGCTCTCGTAAATTACGAGACCATCAACAATCTCAAACCGTACAGCCTGCGAAGCCCCGAAATCCTACCGGCTACCTCCCTCAAGGTGCAAGCCGACTACGAAACATGCAGGAAATCGTAGCTTCTTGCCAAGTACAGCAATGGTGCACAACGATACGCAATCTACGATTTGCGGCTGCTACCCCGAAGCCCTAAACCCAATGCCCCAACCCTACAACCCCAAGTCTAAAGTCTAAACCTAAACCCTAAACTCTAAACCCCGAGTCCTAAGACGAGATCGGAACTGAGGTTATGGAACACGATGCTGCCTTGTGCGGGAAGCACTTGGGTATCTGTGGACCTTTTACTTGTCTACAGCCCTCTGGCCGCAGAGATGCCAGATAAATACTAATTGAATACGAAGAATGATAAGGTTAATTAGGTCAAAAGAACAAGAACAGTAGCAAGAATAAATGGTAACAATAGTGGTAATGATAATGAGCCCTGCCTCAGATTGAATCAACCCAAGTCGAAGTCCAAAATCAACCCGGAGTCGAGTTGCTTGGGGTTTTAGGGTTCATGGCTTTAGGCTTTGGGCCTTTAAGAGGCTTAGGGTTAAGGGTTTTAGGCTTTAGGGCCTTGAAAAGGTTTGGGGTTTAGGATCAGAGCCTGGGTTAAAGAAGGGTTAGGGGTATTTTCTGGTAATTGGAAATGAAGTTTGCTGTGTGGTAGGTAAACCTGAAGCCGGAGCTCGAGGTCTCAATGAAGACTCTGGCGTGCAAGGGTCCTCCATGGACGTTAAAGCCTAAACTCTAAGCCCTACGCCCCTAAACCTCTGAACCCTAAACCCATGAACCCTATAAACCCTAAGACGGCAGCCTTCAAGCTTGGTTCCAGCGCTACGGTACGGGGCAGATCGAAATTTTCTCTCGTCTCTCCCGCGGTCTTTATAGGAGTTTCCGAAAATTACGCGGTGCCTTACTCTTGGGGTCCTCATATAGAATAAGGATCCTACCATTTAGGGGTTTTGGAAACTCCCATTTATGTCTCCCTGATTCTGTCGGTGGGTTTGTTCGTTTGTCTTTTCCCTCCCTCCCTCCCTCTTGTGTGTACCCTCCCTTTCGTTTACTCCTTGTGTTCCTAATTCTGATGTACCGGTGAAACGCGCATTTCGAAAGTTCTAAACCCTAAACTCTAAACCCTAAACTCTAAACCCTAAACCCTAAACCCTAAACCCTATAAAGACCTAAGGCCAGAGCTTCGACCTGACGCCCTCAGCTTTGCCGGGGCCTCGAAGCTCAGGGCAGCCACTCTTCTTTAAGTGGGAGTCTCTGAAAGTTAGGGGCACCGTAAAGGTTTCCTTTAAAGGGGTACTATAAGGGTTCCTTAAAGGTCTACTATAAAAGTTTAGGCCACTCTTCTTTAAGTGGCTCTACGACAGTGCTTATTCTATAGGGACTAGGGCCTAGGGTTTCCGGTGCACTATGACGACCTCCGTCGATTTGGAACGGCTTCAAACAGAATTCAGTGTCAGCCACTCACTGCAGAAGCCGAAGTAGTTACTAGCCTTATTCCTTGGGGCTCCTTTGCCGAACTATCGAAGAACTAGCATCGTATGAGCGGCCCTAGTTTGTTCTAATCATTATTTGGAGGTCGGGGGGCTTAGTTATAAGTACCATAACCCCAACTAAGGCCTCTAGATTGCGAGAGTGACTAGAAGCCCGGCCTGGGCCCCATCGTAAGACTGAGGGTTTAGGGAGCCCTGAGCCCCGAGACCCTAAACCGTTAGTATGTTAGGGGATCCCCGCCCCCCAGCTCCCCCAAAGGAAAGGGAACCCCAGAAGACAGGATCTACTTTTTCGGGGGAGTAAGTAGGTAGTAAGTAGACTTATAAGTACCTTAAGAGGGACCCTAATTGGGTCTATGGTACTTATAAGTCCCTAAAATAACCAGTTACTAGGTCCCCCGACCCTTCAAGTATATGCTCTCCTGTGGGCAGTTTGGTAGTGTGGCAACCACGTCCACGAGCGAGTGGTTTAGGGTTTCGGGATTCTGGGGTTTAGGCTTTTTGTTTGAGGGTTTTGGGCGGCCTACATCAAGCCGTCCTGGTATTTCCAGCTTCGGCCACGCCGAGCGATGTGCTGTCTGCAGCCTCGAAACTACTTGACCCCGCTAACAACCATGGACAGACACCAGAATCTGGGCCCTTCATTGATGACTTGTACAAGGCAACGGCCCAGATCAGACCCTCCAGGAGCCAAATGTTGTCGCTGGACATGAAATTGTGCTGCAGGAGAATATCCTCTCAGATCCCATCGTTATAGCGCAATAGGCACCAATCAGCAGGCTCCTGCATTACTCCTTCGTAGCTTCACTCCGTGGGCTGATTTTTTTCAGGGAGTGTCGGCTAGATTCGGTTGCCCAGGTGTGAGTGTCAAGCCTCTCCACATTAAACAAGAAAACTTAAACTCTGAGCCCCAGACCCTGCACCCTAAACTTCTCTCCAAACCCTAAACCCTTAAAAAACAACGGAAGCCCAGAGCCCCGAACCCTAAACCCCCCAAAAAAACATAAACCCTCAACTAAGCTGTACCCTATCCCTCCAAGGACCTCATAGTGAGGGCCCTAGACCCCTAGAAAGGACCCCATAATAAGGTCCCTGGAGTCATAGCGGTAACTAGCAAGTATGCCAGGGCGGCAGCGAGGCTTGGCGGAATTTCTGCAACCTCGGGCGGCCGAGGGTTCGGTGGTTATTTCAGACCTAGGGCCTTGGGGCTGCGTCAGCAATTTTGAATTGGGGAGATACATATGTATGTATAGAAACTTAAAGTTTGTTAGTCCATGATCAGAAAGTCAAACCTTTTGGAGTTCAGAATGAACTCGAACTCGCGATTTTGCTTGTATAGTGCAGGTTAGTCTCACGAACCTTTTGCCTGGGCCTAGATTTTGTTTTTAGATCGCGCAGCCGTGTTGTCGAGCCCTAGCCCTAGCGACTACGCCTCATACTTTTTCGCAGTAAATTCAGAACGGATTTGAAAGGGTACCCTCTCGCAATGCGGTTTAGGCTATGGCCCTTCTCAAAGTATCCATCTCTGGATCATGACGGACCACTTCAAGAGCCCTTCAAATGACTGACTGGTTCAATGTACCATCACATTCTTGACATGCACCGTTCGTGATCGGCGCGGATAAATTTGGTCTACTGCCCTCAAGCAGGGCAGCTTTTGGGTATTCGTTGAAGTGCGATTGTGTTAACAGGCAAAAACAGGCTTATCTCGGGATAGCTCAGGACTTCCAGTGATGCCTGTAGTGACCCCTGAGCACGCGGAGTCATGAAATCGTGTGGAGGGGTAGTCGTGAAACGAGAAAGCCACATCTTCACGACCTTGAACTCCGAACCTAAGCCCTCCACTCTCTTCCTAGCTTTTCTGTCGTCCAATAAACCCTAAACCCTAATCCATCATGTGCAACTCTTTTCCCAACTTTTCTATCGTCGAAGCAGGTCCGACACAGCCTCACCATACAAGAGAAGCCACTAACACGTTGAGCCCTCAAGCTGTGAAGGCATTATGCATTGAAGCCGAAAAGCCGTAAGACTAAACTCGACACGATTCCAAGTTTGCCCAGCCCAAGAATCCCATGTACCTTCATTGGATCTCAGGAAGGACGTTCAATCGAGTTTTGAGAATGGTACGACCTGGGCTAGATGCTTTCGCAACGTGCCCCTTGGCTAGTTACTAGTTCTCTGTAATGCTCGTCGTGTTGGTTTAGTTTGTGCGTGCGCATGTCTGTGAGTTCTCACACTCTTGGCTTCCATGGTCTCTGTAACTCTCTCTTGATCCGTGTTCGGCTTCTGCCCTTGCTTTTGATGTAGCGTCAGATCGCGATCGACTCAACCGACTCGAGCAGAGACACCCGTGGGTGCACAGTGACACATGTATCGACATATGTATGTGTCTCTGTGTGTATGTAGTGTGCATGCATGTCATCTGTGTCATGTCATGTCATGTTTGTCATATATTTATGTATGCATGTGTGCAGGTATATACTGATGCATGTGTGCATGTATTAGGCTGCATGGCTGTATGTATGTATGTAGGTATGTCTTTATGTTTGTTTGTGTGAGTTAAGGTAATGTAATGTAATGTAATGGAGTGTAATGTAAGGTAGTGTAGGTATGTACACGTGCATGTATGTAGGATGTGTTTGTATGTAGGAATGCACGTTTATATGGCAGCCTGTCTGTCTGCCTGCCTGCCTGCGCCTCCCTGCCTGCCTGCCTGTACTCCTGTACGAGTCGAATGCAGGGTAATGCAATGCATATATGTGTGTATGTGTGAACGCATGTTTGGAAGTCTGTCCGTCATCTTGTCCGCATGTATATAGGCACGTGTTTTCTGTATGTACTTATGTGTGTCTGTGTGCATGTGTAGCTATTTAAGACCTGTTTGGCGGCATGTTTCTCCGTGTCACATTTGTCTGACGAATGTCTGTTCATGAACGTGTTACTTGTATGTCGGTTAATTACTGCATCTGGCATCTCCTTTCGAACTGTGCAGAGCATGTAGTTATTACTTCACTAGGTAGGGCTTTGGGACATTTTATCTTTTCCCTTATTGGGCTTAAGAGGATCTTATTTACTAATATTTGTCAAAGGCTTTAAAAGCCCCACCTAGTTCAGTGCTTAGCCATCTGGGTTGAGGGCTTTGATGTTTCCGCCTGTGGCTGAAGTCCGGGGTGTCCGATGGTCGCAAGATCAGTCTATGAGGTGTATATATATATGTATATATATGTATATATGTATATGTGTATATATATATATATATATATATATATATACATACTATGAGGTCTCAGTGCGGTTCGCTTCTATGGGCTCGTTGAAAGAGTCCTTTTCGGTATCCTTTTCTGAGTTCTCGAAGAGTTTTGAGCATACTGCCGGAGGACATCGCGCACAGAAACCGTAGAGCCACGGTGCAAACTGTCTGTGGTTCATGCATCAGCCTCAACCGTCGTGTCGTTGCTACAGCGAGCTACAACGCACCTTTGATTCGCATCCCGAGACAGCTGGGACTTCCTGATAGGTGACCGTAAAATTGAAGCCCAATGATCTAGGGGCCTCATATAAGGGTTGGAAGTTGGGGTTTGTTCTGCTCTAATCATATGAAGGGGCCCTCAGGAAGAGCATTCAAGCCCCTGCAAACGGCACGCTGGCCTCTGAGAACCCTGCAGTTCCGTAAGGTTTATCGAATCTGCGAACCTGTCGCTTGGCTGAGAGGTGCATGTTGCCACGTCCTTCTCAGGAAACCTCCAGCTTGATTTGTTTTTGTTCGGGGCTTGGGGTACTGTAGGGGCCTTCATAAAATTAGCATAGGGTTTGGTGGTATATTATGTGTGTGTGTGTATATATACATATATATATATACATGTGTGTGTGTTTATACTAAGGAACCCCACAACCCTATCTAATTATTAAGGCCCCTGCATTAGGGATGTTTGGATTTTTTTTGCCAGTTGCAGTCGGAGGGCCGTCGCCTGGGAGAGAAGGTTATGTGGGTCTCACTAAACCCTAAACCCTAAACCGACATGGGATCTTCCGAAAATTAGGGGTACCTTTAAAGGGGTACTATAAGGGTTCCATAAAGGGTTTAGGGTTTAGAGTTTCCGAAAAGTAGGGGTACCTTATTTGGGGTCCTTCTAACAAGGATCCTACTCTTTAGGGTGCTATATGAGGGTCCCCTATGTTCGGAAACTCCCACATCCAGGCAGGCATATACAAGTCTGTGCAAAAGTCTGAGACTTCAAGGATTCGGGCAGGGCAGAAATTTAGGCAAGATTCGACCTGGTAGTATGTAGGGTTCAGGGTTCAGTGGGGTTCAGGGATTTAGGGTATTATCTTAGCAAGTCTGGGCCAGATTGCACCACTACGATCGTCAAACCGCATCCCAAAGCCCTGAATCCTAAATGGGTTCTTGTCAAACTGATGGACCTTAGTTGGGTACCCTAAACAGTCGGTGCCGCATTATGTTAAGGACCCAAACAGGGACTGTAATTTTGACAACCACCCAAATCTTGCTTAAACCCTAAAGGAGTGTGAGCGCGGAAGCCCCGAAAGATTCCTTAAGCTCGTTTAGGGTTTAGGGTTTTAGGGGTTCCTTCAACCCTCATAAACCCTGAACTCTTAAATGTTCCTTTAAGCCCTAAACCCCAAAATAGTTCTCTGGGTGAAGACAGAGCGGGTAGGTAGACGGATAGACCACCAGGCAGGTCTAATATAGATACGCTCATAGACAGGTAGACAGAGACCGCCAGATCGACCGATAACAGACACGAGAAGACAGACAGACAGACAGACAGACAGACAGAGACAGACAGACAGACAGAGACAAACAGATTGATAGATAGGCAGTCAAGTACAAAGATGTTTTGTATATTGTCTATGTGTTTATATATACTTATGTGTGAAGGTGTTTGGCGTGCTCGTTGTACATGCGCGCATCTGTGAATATGTATATATAAATATGAGCACACAACTATGTTCTATGTTCACCCTAGAAATCTATACTCTACTCCACGATGTGTCAGGTTGTTCTCCGCTTTTCATAGCAAAAGTTTTCTTCTTGTGCTTGCAAACTTGTACATAGCTTGTATAGATACGCACACACACACACATATGCACATCTTCCATGCAGTCATTTCTACATGCACACGCAGAGACCCCAAACCTCGCAACCCTAGACAACAAACCCGTCGGAGGGACGATCTCACTAGCCTTAGAGGTATTTTACGGGAACTTTGTGGCCTCGTCGTTTTCTCATCAGGGCGATTCACCACATTCAGCAGACCTCACACCATATGCCTCTCCTGGAGTTTCCGGGTGTGAGCACCGAAATGAAAAGCCCACACAGATACCGTTGATGCTGCAAATCCTGCATTACCCCTTGTTAAGGAACACCATAATTCCCATAGTCTAGGGTCATTAATCAAGGTAACACAAGGTTTATATCATCAACCCTAAACCCTTATAGATTATCGATCCCTTAAAGGAACCCCTTAAAGGTACCCTTATAGATCCCCTATAAAGGAACCCCAGGATTTATGTCATCAACCGTCGTGCCGGAGCCTGATTAAGAGACCCTGGGCCTATAGCACCCAAATAGTAGGATTCATATAAGGAACCCTAATAAAGGCCCAAGGTTTCTTAATCAGGTTCCTACATTATTATAGTACCCTTTATAGAACCCTTATAGTAACCCTTATCGACCGCTTTAAAGGAACCCTAATAAAGGCCCAAGGTTTCTTAACCAGGTTCCTGCATTAGTGTATGCTGAACATCGAAATTTTGCGCAGCCGAGGTCTGCCCAGGAAGATGTTTATGATAGCCGAGGCTCCCTTCCTCTTTTGGGGTTTAGGGTTTTAGGGTTCAGGGGTTTAAGGGTTTAGGATTTTCAGGTTTAGGTGTTCGGGGTTTAGGGTTAACACCTAAAGCCTGATGTAACAAGGGTTTAGGGGTGTCGGCTGTAGTGACTTTAGTGTTAAAGGGAACTCCAGAAAGTTGGAATTTGGATTAATGGTAGGATCCCCTATAATTTACCTTAAAGGGGCTACGATAATGATATTCCAACTTTCCGGCTTCTACTGTATGCCGGAGAAGCAGTTTTTGCAGCTTCCGAGTTGATTCTACGTTTGTTTCGGTGTTCTTCCTTGGATTGCAGTTTGTCATTTGGGAATTTCCGAAAACAAGGGGTACCTTATTTGGGGTCCTTATAATAAGGGTCCTACTATTTAGGGTACTATATTAGGGTCCCCTATTTTCGAAAACTCCCATTTAGCTCTCAATCTTGGGTTCATGCAAATCCTGGGATTGTTTGTCTGTTGGCCGGTTTGGTGCATGTTCAAGCTTTACTCTGAACATTTTCTGATTCGTTCCCGGCTGGAGATTGACTTTAATGACCGTGCGACATGTCTCTTTTTTTGCTGGCTTCTGACAGGCCGGAGCGCCTGCATCCACCCCAACACCTTTCTGTTTAATGGCTTTTCTGGGAGGTCCAGATGTTGAAGGGACCTGCGCTCCCGAAAGCAACATTTTCGGGGAATCTGTCGGCCGCCAGCCAACCAAACCACAAAACCACATCGAAGACAGTTCAGATCAAGATCACATACAGACTATATCAACAATCCAAGCCTCCGTCATGAAGAAGCAGATGACATGCAAATGACATGCAAGAAAAGGACATGTGAAACAGGATTGACCGACTTCTCGAGTCTTAGAGCTTCGTAGCTGAACGACGAATCACACTTTATAGTCGCTGTTTCTGGTGATGCTACCAATGCTACCCGCTTTTGAGCTGAACGTTTGCAATTTTTGGGGCTTATCCCTGCGAAGTAGGAGGCAAATTATTTGGGCAACTGGAGCTATTTTGGGTCAGAACAGACTTTGCCAGGCTACTCGATGCGCAAAGATTGGGTGAATGGCCGCCTGCCTTGGATTTAAGGTAGCAGCCTGAATACTTGAAAATTTTATTCCTCAGGATTCCTAGCCCTAACCGCCCTAACCATACTTTGAACAACTGCGAGACCCCTGTTCTAACCGCTAAGGCTCGTATAGTCGAACTTGAGGCGGGTTGTAAGGGTTGGCGTTTAGGGTTGAGGTGTCCTTTTATATTGGCTTTGATGAACTTCTCGGCGTAAGCTCACAGCTGGAGCCCTCAGTCCTACTCCGTCTGCCAGAATCTGGTGCGCAGTCTTTCTGGATACTGTAGGGGGCCTTAAAAATTAGAAAAGGTTCTGGTGGTTCCTTATTATAAGTATAACATAATCTACCCACAAGCCCTATTCTAGTTATTGAGGCCCCTACATCACCTTATTCTGTATGGGACGGGATGTGTCAGCGACAGCCCAGGTCCGAACACCGTGTTTCGGTTCATCCTCGGCTGCTCGGACGCAGCTGTAACTGGAGGGCTTTATGGGGTTAGGGCCCGAAGCCATAAACACAGAAGGTTAGCTGAGGGTCCAAGTACTTAATTCATAATCGTCATATACCCTCCCAAATATGAACTTACAGAACTACTATCCTGAACCCCAGTACCTTGTTATTGGGTTGTTTGGACCCTTAGGGTTAGGGCCTAGGTTACCGTATCAGACTAACCCTTAGCCTTAGACTACAAGCCCTCCAAGCGGAAACCTTGAACGTCACAACCACGCGCTTCAGTCTTCGAGGGCTCATGGGCCTTGTTTACCCAAATCTTTCGAGTCCCCCCAAGTGCCCTTTAATAGAGCCCTTCTGGTCCTTATATAATATTGGGTATTTGGGTTATGATAGAGTCTGATAGAGGGTAGTTGGAGGTCTAGAGGAAGTCATGGCCTATGGTTTCGGGATCAAGGGCTTCGGGCGTGGTTGCAAAGGGGTCCAATGGGTTCGGGGGTAGCAGGGCCGTTCAGGCTTCAGGCTTCATGGTATTTAGACCAAAAGGGCCGTGTCTGCGACAAAAACTCTCCGAAGCCTTAAATAACGAATAGTAGACCTTTCAACTTTCTGGTTTTATTTAAATATGTGGTCTATCTTAGGAAGTTTGAACTTTCTTGGGTCCGGTTATTGAAGAAGAGTAGAAGCCCTAGACACTAAACCCTGCACAGCAGAAGCTGGGGCGGAGGTAGAGAGTCCCTAGTCAGAGAGCGTACTAAAGGGGCCTTATTAGTAACCTATACTATCTTGGGGGGTTCCTTGTAATATTTATAGTATATCCTAATATACCCCCTCAAACCCTATTCTAATTATTGAGGCCCCTGTATTATAGCACACAGCACATGATCTCATTTGGGGCTGGTCTTCTGTCTTCTTGCAGAGATGATGCTATCAAGTTCGGTGTGTACAGGACTTCAGGGGATTTGTGCCGACTCTGAGGGGTCATAAACCCGGGATGTCGGATTGGTTCAAAATTGTACTTCGTGCCTTTGTCTGGGCCAGACGGATCAACCAAGGAAGCTTCTTCAATGGCACTTTCCCGGCACAGTACGACTCCTTTTATTTCATGGTCGCTTTGGCTTGCACTCGAGGCTTCAGAGTATGAAGGTGAGAGTTTCAACAGATTTTGTTGGCATAACCAGAAAAGTTCAAGATGCCCTCCCTACTAGCAGCTTCGTTTCGTATGCCTTCGCACAGCGCAGCCCTTCGGGCCAAGGGATGCTGTTCAATAGTGCTGTTTCTTTAGAAGTGATTATTGGCGGGCCGCAAGGACATCGAGTCAAGCAGTTTTGTCGTCGAATTGGTATTGTACTGATTTCGAGTCCTCGGCGCGTAACGTCTGCAGCTGCAGCCCAAGACGTACCCCGAGACATGGCCCGCTGGGCTTTCCAGGCGGCTAGCTGGACAAAAACGGGAGTTTCCGAAAATTAGGGGTACCTTTTTGTGGTCCTTGTAATAGATCCTACTAGTAGGGTACTTTATTCGGGTCCCCTATCTGCGGAAACTCCCAAATCGCAAGAGCTCTTCGGCAACTCGTGCAGGTCCGACTTAGCCAATGGAATCTCTGTTGAGGTTTGATTGGGTGCAATGACGACAGCTCAACGCCACCCGCAGCCACAACAAGGACAACAGCATGATGTCATCAAGAACAACAGTCGCAGTAGCAATAACAGTAGCTTGCCTGAGATTTGATAGATGGCTAAACCGGTACACGGAGAGGTAGGGCCAGGGAGGACATGCAGATTGACAGATATTGAGAGTTTCGCATTCCACCTCCTATCGGGCTAGACGGGCGACAGCTCACAGAGCCCATTTGGCAGTTTCCAAAAACTATGGGTACCTTAACTTATTTGGGGGGTTTATAATTAGGATCCTACTATTTAGGGTACTATATTAGGGTCCCACATTTTCGGAAACTCCCATTTTGGGGTTGTTTTTGGAGTGCCAAGGGGCCCAAGTTGAAGACTTGGATCCAAGGAAATCGATGCAGTGCCGGTGCGACCTTTCTGGCTGGATCAGTTCATCGCGGAGGTGCAGCAGAGGGTTTTCAACAAACTAGGGGTATCCTTAAGGACCCTTATTACGAGGTCATATTACCTTAGGAGTAGTTAGAAATATTTTTTAATTTTTGGTCATTATAACCCCTAAGAAACAGCTAAAATTGTTTTTTTTGGCCAGGGTTCTAAGTTCAGTGTGGTATTACTCGGGTTTCGATCAGATCAGGCTCTCCCATTTTCTGGAACTCCCAAGGGGGATTCGCCGAGGGAGGCGCCAGACGCAACACCAAATCATCAGCTCCTGGTCTTCGGAGGCCTCAATACCCAAAGGGTCCTAGGTACAGTTATGGGGGGTACTTCCCCAAATCATAATAGTAATTCCTATTATAGAAACCCTACATTCTCCCATGTAGGTACTTTGGACCCTTTGGGAAAGGTGGGATGAAGGTAGGTAGGGTTAAGGATCCCTTATATAAGGACTCTTGTTTGGGAATATCCCACCTACCTTCATCCCACCTTTTGAGGCCTCCGAGGTCTGCAAACCCAGAGAGCCCAATACCCCTTAACTAAGGAATATAGCTTAAATCATAATATTAAGCCCCTGATAGTTTAAGGTATGTTGCTTATTTAAGGGGTATTGGGCTCTCTGGGAAACTGGAGCTTAGCTTTTAGGGTTTAAGGTCGTGAAAGACGCCAAACCCTCAACGCTCAACCCCATAAGTTAATAAGAGCAAACGAAAGACACGGATTCTCCCCGAAGCTCGGGGCAAAATTGCAAACTTAATCCCAGGGGGCCACTGAAGTACCACCCTGACGATTTTTGGTACGACCTACATTACGCCACCCTCGCAGCCACCGTGTGACAAAGCTCTCTCGTCTCAAGGCAGGTGAGGACTTCAAGCACGGATGCTTGTCTTGCCTTGGGTTAGTAGGGAATGGAGGAATGGGCTACAATTATAACTACCATATTACGACCATCTTACTACCATATAACTACGATTACTACCATTCTTCCATTTCCCTACTAACCAAAGGTTAGGAGGGGAAAAAAAAAAGGTAAGTTGTCGAGAGTCCCAAGTAACAGGATCCTTCACATAGGGAACCCTCAATAGGGTAAGTCTCGAAACTAGGGTCCCCTTTGGGGGCCTACAAAAAAGGGTGATGTACTATTTTGAGGACCTAAACAGGGACCGTAATTTAGAGAACTACCATGAACTACCCATAAGAATACCCAGATTGTTTGAAGCCCTCCATTCGACAATCGCACAAGTCGGAGCCTCACGAAGCTTGAGCCTTCTTAGCCTAAGCACTGAGGGACTCCAGAGCGACCTTCATCTAGGGCCAGGGATTTGGGATTACGGTGGAGAGTTTAGGGCACAGGGCTTAAGGGCTTAGGGTTTCGGATTTCGGGCACAGGGCTTACTGTAAGGGCTTGGGGGTTCGTCCACTCATCACGCTCTTTGCTTGCAGATTAGCGACTCCACGACTCGGCTCTGTCGGAGTTAGGATTTAAAGTTCAGGGGTTTAGGGTTTCGGGGTTATCAGGGTTTAGGGCTCAGGGTTTAGAGTTTAGGGCCGTTTAGGGGTTTACGGTTTGTGGTACTTTAGTTGTCATCAATCATGATCCACTGCTTGCTGCTAGTGTGGCCCCAACATAATGAAACCAGTCGGGTTGGCGTCGCCCACGCAGCCGGCACTTTCGGAGGCTACCATATATCCCCGAGCTGCTATCCGCGGCAGTCGCTACAGAGGCCAATGCTTTGGAGATCTTAGGATCCGTCGATCTGAGTTGGGGGCTTCTTTTTTGGGGGGGTTTAGGGTGTAGGGTTCATGGTTTAATGGTTTTCCGGTAAGGTCACCGGCCAAACATGCTTCAGACATCAGTGCTCGTATGATTCGTTGGGGTACGCACTTTGAATGTGTGAGGCTGGGACATGGTTGTAGTTTTGTAGAAGTCTGTGAAAAGTATTTGGATCTTGTTGCTACCGATCATGGTGCCGCTGAGCGTTTTCTATCTCGCCTGCTCAAAGACACTGGTCATGGGCAGCCAGAGGTTGTTTTTTCAGTCGACAATGGTGGTTTAGTCGCCGGCTCTGAGGTTTACAATCAAGCAGCAATGTATTTGCAACAAAGGGGCGTTGATCGCCCTCGCAGACTCCAGTTGAGCACAGCAGTCATAAAGAACTTGGACGCCAAGTGTCAGCGCGTGATTGGCGGCTTCCGTTCTGTATGGCGTGAAAGATGGGCTGAAAATCATGTCCCTTATGCTGCTGCAGATGTGGAAGTAGCCTTGAAGGCCATGGATTTTTCGAAGTCGGCCGTGGGAATTCCCCGTGCAGCTTTCCAGGTTATGTGCGCTGGTAGTGCCGCTATGCAACTAGCCTGCCAGAATCGAGCTCGTTTTTTCATGGTTATACCTTCCTGTTTGAAGGCAGGACGTGTTTTCCACATCCATAAAAGGGGGAAGCCAAAACTGTTGTTATCTTCTTACCGCACGATCGTCCTTAGTTTCCCTGATTTGTTTCTGGCTGAAGCTCTATGGGCGGCAAGATGTGTGGACGATTTGTGGGCTGCAGCTGGAGAAGCGCAGTTCGGAAGGCAAGATGCTCTATTGGTTTCAGCGATGGATTTGGACGCTTCTCGTATTCGTGAGTTTCTTGGCCTTCCTCACGGTACTCTGTTTACTGATGAGCGTGATGCTTTCACAACCACATGGCCTCAAGATGTGATTTGCAAGCTGCATGATTTGGTGGGGTTGGCCGGCGAGGATTTGGTTTTGAGCTGGAGCTTCCTACAAAACACAACAGTCTCCGTAGCGGGCAAGTGTGCTCGGTCGGCGGAAGTGAGCCTGGAATTAGGCATGCCTGAAGGGCGGTTGTTGTCGCCAGCTTTTTTTGTAGTGGGAGCGGCTTCTCTGCGTTCAAGTTTGGCAACCTCACCCTGCCTACTGGGACTGGATCCTCCTGAAGAGGCAGTTTATGCATACCTGCAAACCAGGGATCAATCAGATTCAGCTGTGCCTGATTTCGTCTTGTGTCGTCGAGTGGCTACTATGGCAATGGAAGGGTCTATGTCGTGGCCTCAGGCTATGGGGTCAGTGAGCTCCGATGCCGATCGGTTGTTGTTGTTGGACCTTGCTAGCCCAACTCGCATTTCGCTTTCACAGTACCTCGATGACAACAAATTCAAAGCCAGCTCATGGGGCTCCTTGAATACTGTGGCAGAGACGGCGTCGAAAAGTTTACTGGACATGAAGGCGGAGTTGACATTTGGCCCCAAGAAGACAGAGTACATTGCCAGAGGATTCCAAAACAGATTGCCGCTGGATTGCGGCTACGGAGCAGCACGAATTTGTGAACGGCATGACTGTCTCGGCATTCCAGTAGATGATGATGCCAGCATGACTGGCTTGCTTTTGCAAGTCGAGAAGAGGGGGGACAGTGGATGGTCCCGTACACTTACTGCTCTTCGTATGTTGCAGCTCCCTCCTTTCGCTGCGATCACGACCTTGCAGAGCCGAATCCTGCCCAACGCATGTTTCGGCGCAGAACTCCTTGTTGTCCGATCTGACTGGAAGACCCGCTTGGACGCTATGCAGGAGAGATGGCTGTCAACCTTTTTTGATTTGCCTTTCCGGGCCCCTCGTATTGCTTTGCTTTCTGCAGTAGGCCGGCCATGGCGGTTAAGTACGACTGTCACACTGCAAGCAATTATGCTATTGGCGAGGCTGCAATGCAGTGGTCAAGAGTCTGAGATATTCAAGGTTCACAATCTGGCTTTATCCTGTCCCGTGAGTTGGTCTGCAGCAGTTCAAGACCTCAAACATTGCTTGAATGTTCCTGATTGGCTGATCTACTGCGAGGGTAATGTGCTGCAAGGCCGGGCTCGGAAGAAACTGTTGGCAAAGTACAAAGCTCTTGTGACAAAACTTTTGGAACAAGTAGAGCAATCCTGGCAATCCGATGAAGTGGCCCGTGTTGGGTCGCATCGCATTCCTCCACTGTGCAGCGCACACACGTGGCAGCAGCTGAGTGATTGGACGCAGCAGAACTTGCCTGACAGGTCAACCGAGCTGTGAAAGACTTCTTTGTCGCGCTTTTCTCTCTTGCTCCCTCTCCGCCTCTGCCTCTTGCTCTCTCTCTCTCTCTCTCTCTCTCTCTTTTGCGCTCTCTTTCTCGCTCTCTCTCTCTCTCTCTCTCTCGCTCTCTCTCTCTCTCTCTCTCTCCTTGTGTTTTGGGGTGTTTCGGTTTTCAGGGTGGTGTGATTCAAGGGCTTTTGGCGAACTGGCTAGCAGGCAGTTGTCCCTGCTGCCGTTGCTGTTTGGTTGCCGGGTTCCAGTCTTCCCGCGCTTATTGTCTTCGTACCTGCGGGCGCCAGTTATTCTGGAGACCATCGGGAGCTGGTACTGTATTCCTTTGTGGTATACTGTTGCTACGTTTTTGAACTCATGCCTTTCCTGAGAGCGCTGGCAGTTGTAGCGATTGCCGCCATAGGTGTCTCTGGAGGTGGGTCTGTCTTTGCTGAGGCGCTTTCAGACGCACAGCAGGGCTCTCCCTGCTCTGGGGGTCGCCAATGGGTCTATGGCAGTAGGAAGATATCGCAAGGTGGCATCTTGCTGACTGTGCAGCAATACTCGAACCACTGACTTGCGCTGATCTTTCCGGCTTAGTGTAGATTGAAGGAAGCTTGTCTTGGCCCATTGAGATAAGCCCGCTGAGACGCTCGGACTTGGCGGCATTCATGCAAAGCAAAAGTTTAGTGAGTTTAGTGTGCTCCACTAGAGCCTTTAACCGTCCGTGCTTTTGCAGAAGCCGAAGGGTCCGAAGTAGCTCTATGGTAGAATGCAGGGTTTCCTTTTTTAGGAAATATTATTGTGGTTTGGGTAAGTATTTTCCATCTACTACAGGGGCTTCAATAACTCGAGCAGAGTTTTGGGGAACATCTTACTACAACCATATCAAGGAACCCCTCCGATTGGTAGTTATTTAGGCCCCTATACTAAACCATCATATACCCCTTATAGTAATCCTTATAGACCCCTTTAAAAGGAACCCTCAAAGGAACCCCTGTTCTAGTAGGTACTTATAGGACCCTTTAGGGAAGCCGAAGCTCAGTCGTCACGGCTCGGCAGGCGACAGTTGGGACAGCTTCCAGGCGTCTCTCTCTGACGACCTTCTGCTTCACATCAACGGTAATGCTTCTTCGTCTGCAGGGTTTAGGGATTTCGGCGTTTAGGGGTTTATGCTGCCTATTCTCAGAACGCCTGGGTGCAAAAAGGCTGGCTATAGGCAGCCAATTGGAGCGGGGTTACTTCGAGCTGTTCTCGTAAGTGCGAATATGACATTGCACAGGCCTTCCAGCAAGAGCCAGGGTGTAAGTAGGTTCTTCATGACGTAGTTAAACGTGGTTGTATGCTCAGCACAATGTGGTCTGGAACCGGTACATGCGAAATCATGCGAAGGGTTGCGGACTATGTTTGCGCGGTTCGGCTCCTTCGGTATGCATAGAGGTACAGGCTCTGCAGTAATTCTGAGGGCTGGAGCATGTACACGGTACCTATCGTCTCCGGGGCAGGAAAACGAGTCCACCGTTTGATCTCTTGCAGCATTGGAGCTCGGGTGCTGAGGGCTTCAGTGCTCGGGCAACCCATGGCTGTTAGTTTTCCACAACACGGGATAATTTATTGCCGGCTGTTTGCGAGCAAAAACGACTCCCAATTGCCAACCGGCGGCAACTATGTAGAACTCTGCGAGCCCGCTCCGCCGTTTGAGCACCAGAAATCCCCCCAACTTTGGAAAAACCCAAAGCCTAAACTCTCACGCAAAACTGGCCCTAACCCAGTTCGAAGGGAGGAAGCAACACCTCAGCTACAAGCCTGAAAACCCTACTTGGAGGTTCATGGGTAGTCATAAGAGGGTTATAAGTCCCGTAATATGGGTTATATGATATATGTATAGTTACCCCACTTACAACCACACATGTAAATACCCATGAGCCTCCAAGTAGACCCTAAACCGTATACCCATATAGAACCCCTACAGATCCCTTTAGAGGGACCCTTAAAGGAACCCTTATAACTACCCATGAGCCTCCAAGTATTAGTCAGATCCGGCCCCATAGTAGGGGCTCAGAGTGCCAGGGTTTAGGGTTTAGGGTTGAGAAGTTTTTGAGGGGCTTCCGGTTCATAGGTTTTTTGGGTCCCTCAATATACGATTGTAATAAGGATCCCTATAATTATACTATAAGCTACTTGGAGGTCCATGGGTTTTTTTGTATATGGGGTTATAAGTCGGGTAACTATACATATTAACCAATATTACGGGACTTATAACCCCACTTCTAACTACCCATGAACCTCCAAGTACGAGTCATATGAGCCAAGGCAGTCTACAACTTGCAGCATCCGTGGCTCCGTTGGCTTTACGAGCAGCTGGAGTCGGAGCAGTCCACTGAACCTGAGACAAGTCAGAGGAAGGGTTCTCCTTTCGGGGTTCCTTAGAGGGATCTACAATACAGGGGATTATAGGTGCCTCAATAATTACATGCACTATGTTGTGGGCTCCTTATCATAATTGTAGTATATTGGGCCACAAAGCCCTAGGCTATTCATTAAGGCCCCTATAGTAGGGCTTCGGGCTTTTGATAGCCGCAGCTTTACAAGCGAGTCTGTACGGTTTGGAACATAGGGTTAGAGGTGTCACTGCGTCCAAAAACCGTTTGAATCATTCAGGTCCCCAGGTTTGGTTCAGGATGTAGTTGGAATTTTCGTGTACTCCAGCGATGCCTCCAGCATCCTTGTTCACAGGTGGCAAAGGGGTGTTTTTATGGGGGCATTGAGTGTCTGAGATACTGATAGATACGTACTATAGGGGCCTAAATAGTTACCTATACTATTGTGCGGGTTCCTTTTTATAAGTATAGTATAATGGGCCCCAAACCCTATTCTAATTCTTAAGGCCCCTATATCAGCCCTACACCCCGAACCAGCGACCTCATCTGGCTGTGCCGAGTTGTGAGCGCGGAAATCCTGGACCTAAACAATACCTAACCTTTAAACTTTTGGGGTTCTTATAGTAGGAATCGGAAAGTTTAACCTTTTATTTCTGTGGCTTATTATTTTATTGGGGTAGTAAGCAAAGTATCCCGAGGAATTTAATGCCATCGCCTTCGACCTCCGGATGGCGAACCTATCCCTCGAGGGCCGCGAAGGCTTTTGAGTCGGGGAAAGGGTTTAGGGTTGTAGGGTTGTAGGGTTTGTGGTTTAGGGATGTTTAGGGTGGAGGGCTGAGGAATTTCTTTACGGAGCTTTGTAGATCATTCTGAGGGTCCCAAATGATTGTTTAATGTATAAGTGGATCTGTGTATATGCATGTATGTGTATATACAGCGTCTGCAGACGTACTTGAGTATCTCCATCCATCCGTCCGTCCATCCATCACTCCGACCGTCTATCCATTCGCATACATACATTCATACATGGGCAAACACGCAAGGAGACAGCCTTCGGCCAAAAAACAAGCGCACATTCAAACAATCAAACAAAAATTCAAACAAGCACGCCACAAACAAACAAATAAACAAGCAGCCGAACACTAAACATGCAGCAGCATCAGCTGCTCCTACTCCTCCGGCTCCCGCTACGGCTACTGCAACTGCTACTGCTGCTGCTGCTTCTGCTGCCAGTACCAGTACCACTACCACCAAGGCGTGCGAGTGCTTGTACTACTACTGTTCCGTCTGGGTTACATTAGGGCTTGTTCTAGTGATTAAAGCACCTGAAGAAGCCACCGTCACTGACAGTGAATCTAAGGGCACATTGGTTATTACAGCTCCTGCTGCTTCCAGCATCCAGCGGCCATGCAAGTCCAACCGATTGCACAAAGAGCGAAAATGGATAACTGTACAATGGTCATTCGGCTGCGCATGCCTGTCTTCTACGGGAAACCCCTGGCTTGCTTGTTCCTTCTGCCAGTCTCGCAGGCACAAACCCTGATGCTGCAGCGGCTTGGGTAGAGCATGTCCCCAGCGATGAGGACGCAGCCGACCTAAATCGACATGAGCCCTAAACCCTACAGTGCACAAGCGAAAGTCTGATAGGGTTAGACGCCGGACCAGGCTATCGAATCGAAGCTTCTCTTCTAAACCCTACCTACATTCTCCATTGTAGTTCCTTTTTTTTGCTTAACCAGTTTTATGGTTAGGATCCTATAATAGAGTTTTTGGTTAACCAGAAAAAGGAACTACAATGGAGACTATAGGTAAACTCTACGTAAACCCTGGTCCTCAAACCCCAGCCCAAACATGACCATCCTCGACCTCATCTGACGGAGGCTCTACCTTGAACAACCGTAATATAGGCCAGGTTGTCCATCGCTCCCTTGCAACATCTTAAACATGAATACCAGGAAAAGGGGTACCGATTTAGTATTGTTGTTACCATTACTATTGTTCTTATATGAGGGGACACTGGGAAAACCTAGTAGGGCTTGGTAAAGGAGTCTTTTTGTTGGCTTAAGGCTGGTAGGGTTAACGTTTAGAACTTAGGGTCTGGGGCAAGCAGGGCCTTAACATAGTGGAAGCATGAGTTCTGTGAGGATGTAGGGCTTAGCGTTTATGGACTATCGGGTTTACACCCTAGACGTGTCCAGGACGCTTATCGGGAAGATTCCTTGCTGGTCGGACGCTGGGGCTGCATTACTGCAGCAGCAGGTCTTGTGCTACACCCTCCCCCCAGTCCACCAAGTATCCCCTGGTGCGGGAGCCAAGCACCCCCTTCCCTCCCCCCCTGCTGCTTAATTTCAAGGTTGTGCTCGCAGGGGTAAATGGCTGCAACAAGGGTTTAGGGTTGAGCCCGTGGAAGGGGGAGGGAGAGAGAGCCGTTTTAGGGCTTTACAGTTCAGTTCAGGGCCTTCGAAGCAACGCAGCACCTCTGCAGCCCACGGGCCTATGGTTTGGAACTTGATGCGGTTTGAGCTTGCTGCTGCTCATGCAGGAGTAGGGCATGTTAAACCTATCGTGTATATGTGGCCAGTGAGCCAAGTCTTGCAAAAAGGTTTTAAACCGCATGTCGAATCGAATAAGCAAGGTTTCCACCGAGAGCGCCAGAGGCAGTAAACTTCCCGGGTGGTAGAGTGAGGTTGTGGCAGTAGAAGGACATGTATGTATGTACGTATGTGCGTGTATATATATATATATATATGTATATATATATACACACATATATGTACATATATATATATATACTATGATGTGGAACTAACTGTTATTACGTTGTGCATGTTTTGTTAGCCCTGAGGACAAGAAGGGGCTTGGGGTAGTTTGGGGCTCTGGACTGATATACTACATTCTATTAATTCGACTTTTTTAAACTGTAACACACTATCACAAATTGTAATAAGCGATAACAAACCGTAATGAACTATAACAAACAATGTTCAACTACATTCTGATGAACCCAAGCTCACACCGGTCAGAAGCCCGAGCTTGGGAGCCTGACTTCGACACTGCCCACTGAAAGCTCCTGGCAGTAACATGGGGCCTTAATAAATACCTGTACTACCTTTTTGGAGTTCCTTATTATCAGTAGTAATCAGTAATATTGGCCTTAATGACCTATGCTATTTCGGGGGGGGGGGTTCCTCAAAAAAGTATAGTATAATGAACCTCAAAACCTCATTTTAATTACAAGGCCCCTATAGTAATCGTATTCATGAGGGTTCTCCGATGTAAGTATAGTCGTAGTGTTCTACCGTCCCAAGCCCTAGTCTAACGATTGAGTCCATATTGCCAGGTTTCCTCTCCACTGCCATGATCACAGCCACCACGTAAACCTCAAGCCCTAAACGTTTGGCTTTGGGCCCAGCTTCGTGCGGGAGAAAGGGTTACTGCACTTAAAACACGGCCCCAAACGTTAAACCCCTGAACGCCAAACGCAAAAAGCAAAGCGGACCTAAACCCTACAGCCTTTGCAAGGCAATTATGCCAACACCTTGCTGAACTCCAGCTTCTTGGGGCAGCATTGCAAGGTGGATGAAAGCTTACTTGCCTAATCCTAGACCCTGAACCCTAAAGCCTGAACCCTGAGGAGAAACGGGTCGAAACGAAACGATCAATTTTGGGTACGGCCCCACTCAGTAATAGTTGAAGAACATTCATAATGTAGATATACTGGGACCTTAGTAGTAGCCTTTTGCTAGACTCTTACTGTATAGGGGGGCAGTACCTAAGATAAATTACTGAACCCTCGCACCCTAAGCCCTGAAACCTATAAACCTTTAAGAGCCTAACATCGACCAGGAATTTACAAAGCTTCCCTTAACCCTGAATAACCTACCCTTTTCGGGTTCCTTATTATTTTTTCCTTAAGTCCTTAAAAAGGTAGGCTATTCCGGCTTAAGGTCTTGCTTCCACACAAGGAATGCTAGAACCAACCGGTCCTCAAAAGCAAGCAGGTTTGAAGCGCGCAAGGGCAACGACACGGGAAGTTCCCTAAACTAGTGTCCCTCTTTAGGTCCCCAAAACAGTACGGCACCCTTGTAAGAAAGGACCCTAATTTAGAGAACTACCCATTTAGCTGCTCTGCTCTGGGTATCCATGGGTAAGGAGCTGGTCCTGTCCGACATGGCCAGTGCGTTTGAGGTTTGAGGGTGCCATATATATATATATATATATATATATATATATATATAGTGCTACGAATACAGTGACGATGCCTACATGGCAATTGGCTCTTCTCCGGATCACAGCATGCTGCCCCTTCTTGAAGGATCGTGGGACCTAGAAGGGTTATAATTAAGGCAGCTATACTTCTACGTACTCATTACCCCAATGAAGGGACCTATGACGTTTAGGATCTTAGGGGTTTGGGGAGGGTTCAAGCTCCTGTGGACACCGGAAGGGGTCTTTGCGCGCCTCAGGCTTTGATGCAGGCGTGTACGTACGACACGGCGCCACATCCAACATCTTCGAGAATCTCAACGACTCGCTGGTCGCTTGAGCAACGCAAAGTATTCGGCACAGTTTTCGAGTCGATAAGTTTGGGTGGGAGTCACCAATGGACTTGTGAAGTTCCGCGTGCGAGAGAGTTCAGGGTGGCATGGTACCGCCTCAGTCTTCATAGTGCAGCTTTCTCGTGAAGGACAGCATTTAGGCATTTGGACCTGCGTTTTGTTGAACAAGTTGCAGCACTAGAGCCTAGAGCGTTAGACATATTCTAAACATCTGGCGATACGGAGCAGTTTGGGACTTACGATCTGCGGGTTGTGGAAATTGGTGGGCAGCATCTGACACTGGCATTCTACCGTGCTGTATTGGTGAATCTCATCATTTGCACCATGGAGCTTGCATGTAGGAGGGCTTGGGGGTCAGCGCTTCCTTCGAAGCCGAATCAAAGCCCACGTCACCAAGCCGCTCCAGCCCTAAACCTCAGTCCTAAGCCCTGCAACCCAAGGTAGGGAGTTCTTCAGGGTTTCTTCGACGATCCATGCATACATGAAGTTTTCGTGTGTCTGGTGATAGTGGAGAGGCCCTGGAGAGGATATCCGTTTCGCTTTGACCCGCCCCCCTTCTCGACCGACTGGTGACTGGGTTGTAGTGTCGGTTGTCGCTGAGGGAGGGCTGCTGTCATTCGGAGCTGTACGTACCTATGCTTGCGCAGATGTTCCTTTCTTACGCTTAGCCCGGTATGACAGCAGGACCGTCTGGAATGCCCGTACCCTCCAGACAACAGAACGGGGCCCTAACATAGACCCGAAGTAGCAAGATCCTTGCTAAATATATCCCGGCCCAAAACCCTCCACCCTCCTCAACATGTGCCTTTGTGATTTTCGACCCTCCCGCCATCTCCCACCTAAGCCACCCCCCAAGCCCTAAACCCGAAACTCCGAAATCATTACCCCACCTCCAAAAAAAAATACAAATAAAGCCCCGCTTTCGAAAACACCAGGTCACGCTAGCGGCTGTCAGTTTCGATGGATCGAGCGGTGTCTACGACCGGTTCAACCAAAGCCTTAGCGTGTACCATCCCTTCAGGCGCCCTTGGCTGCGTTTCCTTCAGGGTTTAGGGGTTTAGGGTTCAGGGTTTAGGTTTCTGAGAGCCCGGGTTCGACAAGGGTTTAGGTTTCAGAGGTTTAGGGTTTAGCGGGGGCACTGTTTTGAGTCTTTGAGCCTCGGGTTTGAGAAGGTTAATTGGAGAGGAGTCTGCGGTTTCATGGCGTTTACAACCTCGAAAGGTGGAGAAGCGTTTGGGGGTTTAACAGTAGGTACCTTGTCTAAGTTTCCTCATACTCAGGAACCTGCAACTGCGGACGTAGAAAAGGAATGACTTTCGTTCTGAACTTTCAGGGGAGTGTTTGAGTTAAACTCACTGCTCCTGACTTCTTCTTGCTACCCAACAGGCCGTTTCTTCGAAACGCCCTGAAATCCTAGCTCCTACAAGGAAACTCTGCCTGTTCTAAATCCCACGGTGAACCCTCAGTCCTTTGTAAAGAGGTCGGCTACTTTTAATTTATAATTCTTTTACCCTTGTATGGCCGTGTAGAACCCTTCTATGACCTTACAAAGCCCTCATAAGATGCCAGATAGACCTCAAGAATTATTACGGGTGCCTTAAGACTTAGAATTTGGTTCTGGGCCCACTATACTATAATTATAATAAGGAACCTCCAGAATAGTATAAGTAATTACTGAGGCCCCTATAGTATTCGAGGGGGGCCATTGAGCCTCTCTGGTCTAAATGTGTAATGCCTGTGGAGTAATATAGGGGTCGGAACAACTACTGAAAGTATTCCCTTATAGCCCCCTTACCATAACAATATTCTACCCCCAAGTCTTATTCTAATGTTCAGACCTTTATCTCAGAGTAATGCAATTAGTAATTATCTGATCGCTTGAATACGTGCACTAATTGTACGATCCCTGGCATCAGTCATGTGGGACCTGTTTGGTATGCATCGCGGTAGACCCTTGTCGTTTGACCCTCAACCTTTTCCTCGAGAATCACAAGAAGGTTCTCCACCAACGCCAATGCGTGCGTAAAAGTGGAATGACTCTAGAAGCACTCGGTATACTTGTCAGATGTATCTTCGTTCTTTCAAAAATTTTGGTTACAAAACAGAATTCTTCCTCAGTCTAGAGTCTAATTAGACACTACAGCGATGGAGTCCATACCTAGTCTTTAGGGTTCAGGCCAGGGTTACCAAAGCCATCCCGAACCCAACATCCTAAGCTCAAAAGCACAACCCCACAAAACCTACCTGATTTAGGGCTCCTCATACGTAAACCCTGAAAAGGAAGGGAGTGTGCGGCCAAGGTAAACCCTAAACACCGTGAATCCCGAGGTCTGAAATTCTAGATTGTAGACGCCTAGATTATGAATAAGCCTGAGGCGAAAGCTAATACCTCAAACAATAGACTTGTGTGAACCCCATGATTAGAAGCTTTAGCGAACTGTGCAGCCCCCTCTAAAAACCCCACAAAACTTTTAGAGAACCCTAAACCCCTTAGCCCGCCTAGAACCCGTTAATCCCTTGCGCAGGAAGGTCTTGGTCATCTCCTACGGCCACCATCGAGTCGCCCCAGCCGGCACGATTGAGGCACATCGTTTTGAAGGGGGGGCTTAATATAGGGGCCTTATAATTAGCTGTTCAACATGTTTGTTTTTGCGGTGGGTCCTTATTATAAGCATAATATTATGGGCTCCAAAACCTTATTCTAAGTATTAAGGCCCCTATATTTTGTGGGGCTTCCGGGGTTTTGGATTTCGGGGTTCAGCTTAGAGACCTGGATGCCAAAAAGGATGAGGGGCCCTGGAAAGCATGAGTTTAGGAACTTGAGTGGGTTTGTGTAGGATCCTACAAGGACGCGCTATAGGGATTTACCCTCAACCCTAAACCGGGGTTCTACAGGGAATCACCCCTCAATACCAACTCCAAGCTCCACAACCCCGAACGTCTAAAACAGAACATCAAGACCCAGCCTCTAGGTCGTGCCCGGTGATGCTGGTGATGCCGAGGTCACCTTCTACACGGACTCTGGGCTCACGTTTTAGAGTCAAGATGGTTAGGAATTGTGGGTTCGACGTATGGTTGTTCGTCCGTCTCGATGGTTACTTTTACCTGAGGGTGCTGAACCTCTTCACGATCCCGAGGATGTTTGAAAATCATCGTTCGAATCGTAGAAGCTAGCAGACCTGCGATGGGAATCCCAGTGGGGAAGATGAGTGATGAGCATCACTCTGCCAACGATTATTGCCAAGTCGGCCTTGTCTTGTCTTGTCTGGGATACTGAAGTTTGCCAGCAGGCTCCGAGGAGCTTTCTTGTAGGTCTCTGATTGGACTTTCAGTTCAACGGCGAGAGCCCGAGGGATTGAGACTAAGCTCTCTTGCAGTCTGGCTGTGATTCCGCTGCGGGGAGGAAGGGCAGGCCAGGGTTCACTCTTCAGGTTTAGAATCACGGAGCCCTACCATCGAGCAGTCGCTGAGAATCATCTTAGCAACTACAGTAGCAAGAATTGGAACAACAGCAACGACGGCCATTAGAAGCAAGGTTGATGCGAGCTACTTGTTGGAAAGTGTCCTTGTCATCTTTTCTATTACTGGTATGAGTGCGACCACAACCAACACCGTCCCCACCACCACGATGGCGGCTACAACCACGACCACGGCTGTCTGCTGCTCCTCCTCCTCCTCCTCCTCCTCCTCCTCCTCCTCCTCCTCCCTCTTGCACCCGGTACCACGACTCAAGACCTACCAGTACTGTTGTTGCGCAGCGACTTGTCCGATTGGAACGTCTCAGTCTTTGTCATTCTGGCTTCCGCAGCTCCTGTGTAAAAACCATTACACCTGTGGTTGGCCATCAGTAAGTCGACTGTGCTTTAGAACTGTGCAACTCTCCCTGAAGCTGCGATGGCTGCTTGCGATGTGTATACTTTGCGTCATCTTCCCCACCACTTCGTAGGCTGGCATCAGACAGCCTTCACAAGTCTGCCACCGTGCGGAATCATGCGCGGATAGCAGTTTCGCCCCGTTCTGTCATAGAGTCATAGACGGGGCAGAATTCGACAACACGAACTTAACTCGTCCTTGCAACGCATCGAAGCCATCCGAGGGAAAGAAGAAGCAGTACAAGGTGCCGGGTCGCAAAATGCTCTCGCGGACATTGTTCCCGACCGGAAAATTTTTGAAATTCAGGACTCGGTTTCGAGACCCTAAACCCTAAACCCTAAACCGAGTGTGAGTGTCAAAAAAACCCTAAACCGCGACAAGTCTGGGTCTCCACCCTCCCTTGTTGCCCCTTCACAGCTAGCCCTTTGTGTGGACGTGCGTAGCCCTCGGCTCAGATCCTTTCTTTTCTAAGTGGCGTAAACCTTTGTTGCTTAATTTCCTGCATTGTCTGCAAGACATACTCAGCAAGGAACAAGAAGCGGATATTCCAGCTACTGAGTTACTGAAAGCACTACTTGTTCTGCTGCACTGTTACTTCGCGGTCTCAGAGCTAGACGAGGTTTGTCTATTTCTTGAGACGCGATTGCACAAGTCCTGATGCAAAAAGGCGCCATAAAACACCCGAACACCGCTTCCACCCTCAGACCCTAATTAGAGCCCAACACAAATCCTAGCATGGAATCTGTGCTGGAAACCTCAAACCCCCATAAAAGACCTACCAAGCAACCAAACCACCAAACCTTAAGCCCTACCGGTCCATGTAGCCAAATGGCATATATGTTGGCCGCAAAGTAGTTTCTCTTGGGGCAAAGTGGATACTATTTGAGCATCGAAGAAGACAAAAGCAACTTTCGCGTCTGCTGGAGGCGCTGTGTGAGGCAGCGAGCCACGTTGACACCGACTACTTCGCCAGGGTCCTACCTCTTCGAAGGGCTTGAGGTTTAAGCGTTTTAGGGTTTCGGGGTTTAGGGTTCCCTTCCCTTGGGCTCGATGTACGTAAATGGTGGGTTTGGAGCCCTACCTCTTTGGAGGGTTTTCCGGTTTTGCACTGGTTCCTCTGTCGGTGTTTATGGGGCTCGGGGCTAAGTAGCCGGAGCTTCGGCTCTAAAAGGGTTAGCACTTTTTTCACAGGTGTTTGAAAACGTAATCTGCAGAGTTTAGGATGCCAGATGTTGGGAATGAAGATTTCGAGTGGCACATCTGCACGCACGGTTTGTGCTGTTCGATGTGGTTTGATGATCCGGGCTGAGGATTAGCAGACGCTTGATTCAGTACTCAACGTGGTTTTCTGACATGCGCTAGACACAAAGGCTTCGTTTGCGGAAAGCGTCCCACTCTAGGCGAAATGTCTGAGGGTTCCTGAAGGTATATACTACAGGGGCAAATTCAAGTTTACGACGGTTCCGGCTCCGGCCCAGTACAGATGTGAAGTGAGGGGTGAGTTCCTGCTAGTTTGAAGACGTGGTTAGCTTGGGTTGTTGCTTCGATGGCCCCCAAATCGTTCACTAGCCCAGCTCTCATTTGTCCGGCTGAATGGGTTCAAGATTGCGTCGTTGTCGTCAAAGCAGTTTCAGCAGCTGCAGCGGTAATACCACAGCATACTTGTGTCTGTAGCCAACTTTCTGAGTCAATATATGTCCGTATGCATGTGTTTGTGTACTACCCAGAAGATAATATATGTTGTCACTTAGGCCACGCGCTTGCATGGTACAGACTCTATGCATTCAGGGGCATGCCTCCAGTGAACTTTGGGTTCAGGTCTAGAGCAGCACATATTTGATAACGTTCGATGCTGCCAGTCGGTGAATATTTATGTACCAACATAAACTACTATTTGCTCAAGAAACACCAAAAAAAACAAAAATAATAATCCCTATATTACCCCCATAAGGAATATTTTTTTTTTTAATTTTTGCGGGCTCTTAAGCAAATAGTAGTAAACGGTTATGTACTGGCGTGGCGCTCAGAGTTGCCCAAGCTGTTCAGCCACCAAGCCCGACGAACACGCCGACACCGTTTGACTCTGACCCGTTTGTGGCCTTAGGGTTTAGGGTTTGAGGGCCCTATCAATACTAATTAGAGGGTTTGGGGGGTTGCTTATTCTGGATATAGTATATTATCCCCCAAACCCTATTCTATTTATCAAGGCCCCTACATTAGGGCTTGAGGTCTGGTACGAGGAGACATGGGGACTGATGAGTCGGTGCCGGTTGCTACAAACCCCAAACCCGGAGAGCCTGACATCCCTTCAATGTACCTTGGACCATAGTCTTAAGGCCGACAACTTAAGATATAATCCTCAACTACCAGTACCTTAAGGTATGATCCTCAACAACGGGGTACGGGGCTCCCTGGGAAGAGCTACGGATCTGCTGCTGTTAGTTGCTTTGGGAGACTTGAAGGAGCTTGGAAGCTCCGGGTTGCACCAGATGGGAGTTTCCGGAAATTAGGGTTGCCTTACTTTGGGGTCCTTTTGCTCAGGATCCTACTATTTAGGCTGCTTTTTTAGGGTCCACCCTTTTCGGAAACCCCCAGATGGGATCCTGCCAGCCTAGGTCTTCACTGACACCTACCATATCCTGACCGGGCCTTCCTACATCTTGGTTGATGGCCAAGGCTCGGCCATGAGATGTCATGGAGGCTTCCACAGACACGACGCAGGTGGAAAGTGATGTGCGGCTACGAGCTGATTGCATCAGAAGCTGCATCCCTGTGCTTTGCCTTCAGTGCTTGGCCGAAGCTTCATTCACTGGCACTGCGCATCTATTGCCATCTTTATCACGGTCTGTTCAGGTTTCCCTGTCCTGCCGTACATTCACCGTGACTCCGAGTATTGCAGGGCGCGCGTTGAGCATCACAGCTGCAGTGCGCACCAGACCCGGCGAGCCTCTGAGCCTCGCAATTCCCTGTATAAGCCTTGCCTAAACTCTCAAGTTAAAAGTAGGTCAGATGATGGCCCAACACCTACAAACGGCCGTTGTTCTACATACCTTTGGGGTCCAGGTAAGCCCGAAATTTCAGCCCTGTGTAAACATGCTGGTGAGGCTAAGGCCCCGTGAAAAGGAGGCAAAACTACAGAGGCATGCCGGTCTCCAAGTTTACCTGCTCAAATAACCGTCTGAGTTTGTGCGACAAGTCTGCGTGTCAGTACCGGTGTGATGTATGAGCCTCAAAACCAAGTACTTGTTGGTGTTAAGTCTGCTAGAACCCGTGCATTGAATGTTTGGTGGTTGGGGTTCCTGCCAAAAGGAGAAATGCTCTTAACCAGCTTGCTGCCGACGACCGAAATCCATGTGTCGGGTTCCGATGGGGTTGAGAGTATGCTGCTGACCATGGTGGTACAGAACCAACATTTTTTGAAGTTGTCCTACCCACGAGTCGCGATCCTTCTTCCAGAATTCACACCTCAGGTGTTTGAAGTCCGTTGATCAAGCGGAGACTCTCTTCGGTGTTGGGTTGAACCTTGGCAGTGCTACTTGTAAACATCGTCTGACACGCCCAGTGCCAGTAAGAGCATACCTGCTTGTAGGTCCTGAAATTGCAACTTGTTTGTGGGTGGGGCGGTTGTTCTAACGTTAGGGTTCACTTGTGGGAGTTCGTATCCAAAGGATCCTCGTGTTTGAGTTGTTGCTAAGGGCCTCCTACACTTGGAAACTCCCATTCCAACATCCTCCCTGATTGGCATGGGGTTCGCCTCCAGGGTTTCTATTTCGGGGTCTAGGGATTCAAAGGCGTGTTCGGGGTTGTATGGGTTGAGGGTTTAGGGACTGCACGGCTTTTGGGTGCAGGGTGTGGGCCATAGGAACCATGTATATAGAACCCGATAAGAACCCGCTTCAGAGATGTTCAGGGTTAAGGCTTGTTTCAACCTGTCGGTTCCAAGCTGGATGCAAAGCCTAGATGCCTACGCATGAGCCCCATACCCAAGCCTCTAATGAGTCTTACCATGTTTCAGGGAGCCAGGCCTCGAGTAGAACCCTGCACCCCACTAGCCCCAAGCTCTACACCCTAACTATTCTATACTGCCTCGCTTGGTATACGGACCACAGGCCTCCGAGACCTTTTTAGTTCCCACAAGTTACATCATAATGTCATGCGGTCTTAC